ATTTATCAAACACTCACTTTTTTGTAGAATTCCTTCCTGGACTTAAAAGCCCATTTTGGAGCCTCCAAAAGCCGCCAAACACAGCCTCAGTATCCATTACTTAGATATATATATATATTTCATTTATTTTTTTTTTGGAGCTATATTGGCGCTCCACATTAATACTGTGGCACACAACTTTCACACTCTTTCTAAATGAAATTACTAGTTAACCATTACACCACAAGTTTAATTCTTACCATTTTTAATATCATAATTGTCATTCCCTATTAAAGTGAGATTCTTCCTATTCTTTTTAACTTTTTTTCAAAGTTTTTATCTCTCACTTTCTATCCTCTTCTCTAGGACTCTTTTAGAAAGCTATCACATAAGGTGTTGATAGTTGCAAAACCTATCATATAAGGAATGCTGATAGTTTGGGTGTTTAGTATTGTTACACTTTCCTTGTTAGATTCTTGAGACCAAAAGCTAAAACTCTTTGCGCCCAGATTTCTTCAACTTTTCACTCCCTAGCTCCCATCCTCTCTCTCCCAAAAATGAAAGATCTCACTAATGACACTTCTCCCCCTCCAAAAATGAAAAATCTCACTAGTGATTCTGTATTTGAACAACCAATATATATTGAAAAAAATTTCAAAAAATTATGAATCAGTAATGACTATTGAAAAATCTCAAAAATGTATCAATCAGTCAACCATTCTAAAGTCCATGATAATGGTAATATGTTGATTTTGAAAATATTTTTTCTTTTTGATGAATCTATCAATATATATTTTAAAATGAATTTTATCCATTGGGATACCAAATTAAGAATAACATGGATTATTAAAGTAGCAACGTTTAGAATTTGATTAGGATAATAAAGGCATGTGATTAGAATAAACATATTTGAATTAGAAGCAAATTCTATATCAAATAGAAACTTTGCTGTATAGAAAGCTTATTAATAGAAACTTTGTTGTATAGAATAGCTTATTAATAGAAACTGTGCGGTTTAGAATAGCTTATTAATAGAAACTTTTTTAATTTTACTCAAATAGAAACTTTGTTGTATAGAAAAACTTATTTGCTTTTAGAAAAATTCCAGTGTTTTGTTGTTGATGTTACAAATGTTGATACGTTGATGAATTAGAATTATAAGAAAGTGAAAAAAGAGTTTAAAATAATTAATTAATTAATTAATTATAATTAAAAACAAACTTTATATGCTTTCTATCAGTTGAGATAAATTTGATGATGTTTTTTTAATTTAAACCCAATTCACGTATGCTGCTATGGTGTCTCATAAAGATTATTATTGTACACATAATTTACCTATGAATATGCAAGGGAAGGGCAATTATTTATCATGTTTAAATAGGTTGGAAAGCACCCCAATGATCTTTCATGGGACCTAAGAGTTATCCATGACCATAAGTACTCAAATTAGTTTTTTTTTCTTGGCCATTTTGTGCGTACGTTCTAGCCAAGATAAACACATTCCATGCAACTCTAGAACAGGTTCAACTTCAAGTTGGGTTCAGAAATGGCTACTGCCCAAGATGAACCCATTCCATGCATTTTTAGAATAGGTTCAGATTTGGGGGCTGCCCAAGATGAAACTATTCCATGTGTTTCTGGTATAGGTTCAAGTGTATCAGATTTTAGTTTTTGGGACGTCAACTTCGGTCAGTCATAACTTGTTCATTTTAAATCCGACTTAGGTCATTCTTGCGCCCAAATTGTAGTATTTTGAGCCATTTTTCCATTAGTACAAGTATCATTTTATAATTTTGACTTGAAATAACCATTTTACCCTTGTGACCTTAGGGCTTCCAATTCGGACTGGAAGTGTTGTATTGAGTTTTAATTAACCAAATGTCATTATAATTGACCGGGTGGGAACTATTATGACTCTCTACTCATTGGATGACGGAAAATAATTGTATTACCCTTAGATAACCTCGGATTCAGGTAACGACCAGGGTAACTATTCGGACTCCCGAGTTCTACTAAAGACCTAAAACACTTCTAAGCCTAATATACCTAAAAAAAAATTGCTAAAGGCCTAACATACCTAAATTTATTTCTTTCTAAAACACCTTATATATATAGGTATATAATTTATAAAGTATTATTTTGTGCCTCCTGAAATTTATCTCTAACCCTAACCACTCAACCCTAATCCAATCCATATTTAAATTATTTAATTCAGGTTTGCAACTTGGCTGGTTGAGGTTTCGGATTTGAAAGTCGGGTAATTTGAATTACACATATGGTCAATCTCTACTCCGAAAATTTAATGTAATGTTATAGTTAATTTCATATTAGAATACTGCTAAGCACAATATAATTTCATATTGGAATTCGCAAGCAAGTTTTACTACTTAAAATAATTATTATCCTAGTCTTGCCAATTTACTTGTAGTTTCGCAGGGGAAATGCTGATGAGTCTATGCATATGAAAAATGACATGCACACGCTTTAGGGTTTTAGGGTTTTTCACAGGACAATGCACTACTATATTTGTATATGAAATATGACATGCACATCACAAGGCAATACTAGAATCCATTGCCAATAGACAGACTTGGGACAGCAGATCATGGACTTACTGCAAGAGCCATAGAAGAATCTCCTTTGGTCAGAATCAAGGTACATTTGTGAGAATTTTTCCCTCCAGCCCAAAAAGCATCTCGTAGTTTACGAAATATTCCAAAGATTCTGTTTCCCCTTTCTGCAGCAGTTCTTTTATCATAATTTTACCATGACAGAAGTGTTTCCACCACTCCAGAGTTAATTAGCAAATGCGACAATGGTTAAGGTCATGCAATATTGAGTAAATTTAAATTTTTTTATATATAAATATCTAAGAAATAATAATGCAAACCTTTAACTATTGCGAGAGTTCGCATTTGGACCCAAAACAACTTTGGAGCATGGTCAATGTGTCTTTTGCTTCTGAATTAAATATAGGGTCGTCAATAACAGCATTGATGAACAGCCATAAATGTTTCTTCATATTATGAGCTCCTAGGTTGGCATTCTTGTGAGCTCCATCATTGACCCTAACTACTCAACCCTACCCCAATCCATCTTTAAATTTTTTAATTCGGGTTTGCAACTTGGCCGGTTGAGGTTTCGGATTCGAAAGTAGGGTAATTCATATTACGCATATGGTCAATCTCCACACTAAAAATTTAATGTGGTGTTATAGTTAATTTCATATTAGAATACTCCTAAGCCCAAAAAAAATGACTAAATGCAAATTTCTAAAAAATTACATACAAGTTATTAAGAAATTAGTACATGCAACCATTTAAGATTTAAATATATAAAAATAATATTAAAATTTGGATTCAATTTTGTTCGAGTTGTTGGCATCACAAGTTAAGCCCAATCTTTATTAAATTTGGGTTGGTATTTTTTAACCCAAATAAAACTTGAATTGTAAATATAGTCATCCAATCTCGTGAAAAATCAATTCTTGATTAGCCCAAGTTGCACCCCTACTAGCGTATCGCTAAAGTATTTTCACAAGGCTGTATTCAAAGCCATTTCCAGGCTCAGGACTAACATGTAGCACAGGCTGTAAAACCCATTACGTGAAGACAATTCTTAGTTTGTAACATTAGGGTTCATGAGAGTTTGGAGCTTTTAGGGCTTCAACAATTGGGCTAGGCGTGTAACTCTTAAAGGCCTACTTACAGATTTGGACAAAGCAGTCTAAGCTTATGGACTTTAGATTTGTAATTTGTCAAGTCAAACAATGTTCAAATTATTAATGGACCTATAAAAAACATTCAGCAGGTGGTCCAAAGGATAAATTAATATGATGTTCAAGTATGCATTAGGTTGGATGTGTAAAATAACCTTTAAAAAATTGATGGGTAAACCATTTTTATAGGTAATATTTTTTTTCTTACTTTGGTCAAACGCAAGATAGAAAATAAAAATAAAAATAAATTGAAAAAATTTACGTAAAAACACCACATACTAGCTAGGTTTTTTAGGAGACCAACACACAGTTTTTATTTATCTACTTATTTATTTATTTATTTATTTATTTATTTATTATTATTATTATATAACAAACCACTTCAGATGCCAATAACTTCGAAAAAATTACATCTTTATTCATATGGAAACTTCGCAAGGTTAATACATATATACCATATTATATGCACCTTCCTCGGTCTTTTTTTTTTTTTTTAAGCTTTCTTGACACGCAAGCTAGCTTAACATCGACCACTATTTATCACTCTACCCCACACCCATCTCTCTTTACATATATATCCATCAAGGAGCAGATATATAATTTCATGGGGCTATAGTTGCTATAATAATTCAAATGGTTATCAACTCATGCTAAGTTTTATTTTTATTTTTATTTTTTTCCTTTAGAAATTATATTGTTCTTTTCTTGCATGATAGAAGATTCTAATGTACAAACATGATCAGTACTTTGAGTCTACTCCCATCCCCACATTTGTCTGGAGGTTACAAAATATAGAAATTTAGCTTTTAGTATTCCTGATTTGCATAAAATATAGAAATTTAAATTTTCTTTCTATAGTAAAAATGTTAAAATTATAAGTAATATTCTGTTAACCACATTTACCATTATTGAACATTTTTTTTTTTCTCATAGTGGTTGTAAACTCATTCTACAATAGTAGTTGATAATAAATGACAAATTCACTCCTTATATAGCCATTCCAGGTCTAAGGAACTTTACATCCATCATTCTACATAAATTCAATGTCTACATAACTTTTCACTTTTCTAAAATATTTTATAGTCTACAAAATCTTATAAGAGAATCTCCAAAGGGGCTGCTATTTGGGCTGCTAATTCAAAATATAGCAGGTGGGCTTCAAAATGGGCTCTCCAATGCAATGCTATTTTGGCTGCTACATTTTAACTTTGCTATTTATTATGTCAATTGTAACAAAATATATAGCAATTGCTATATGGGCTGGGGCCACAAAAAAGAAGTGGACCGGCTCCTATTTGGCTCTTTTATTTGTCTAGGGCAACAGAGAGAGAGAGAAGAGAACGATGGCACAGGGAAGAGACCGGCTCCTATTTGTCTAAGGCAACATAGAGAGAGAAGAGACCGGCGGCACAAACACACAAGGAAGAGACCGGCGACCAGTGACGGCCTGTATTTTGTTTTCCCCTATATGTGTGTAGAGAGATATGTGGAGCTTAATCTGATTTTGGTGTGCGACAGAAAGAGAAGAAGGGGCGTCATGTATATGTGTGTCACACCAAACTTGCAATTAACCCAGGTACTCTTTCAGTTACTCTGCTTACATATTTGGAAAAATTGATGGAGTGAGGGAAATTTTGATTTTGCTTTATATACAACTATTAATACTGTTGATTTTTGTTGCTGAATGGAAAGGAATTTCTGCTACAACTATTAATACTGTTCTTCCTTTGTTGTTTCAATTTAGTTGTATATTGAAACAAGTGTTCAGATTTTTGATGCCATTAGCTTTGATCCTGATTAAATGTTGAAAAAATTTTCAGGATAACAATTTTTTTCTGGAAAATTTATGGGCTTAATAATATCAATATGATATTTTTGGAAAGGTTTTGCGCACACTCGTATTTTTGGAAAGGTTTTTCTTTTAGCAATCTGCACCAGCACCACAAAAGAGACTGATGATTTTCAAAGAAATGTAAATTACAATGTAACAATATATATTTATTAGATGTTTACATGATCCATTTCCATAGTAATTTTCTTCTAAATTCAATCAAACATATCATGGCACAGTGCCAGAAAACCCACTGTGTTTAGAAGCTGAAGGATGTGTTCCGCATTCATTTGGACAGTGGTGGAAATGAATTGCCCATTTTGTTTTACATAGCATTGGAGGCTGGAATTATGAGTATTTGGAATTGGGTTATTGGTTAGGAAGTTAAATCCAATTTATAAAATCAATTTTACTTTTCTTTCTGCTACAAAAGATCTAAATCCGCTCTTCCACTTTAAGTAGATCATAATATAATATTATTATAAACCCAACAAGCTTACATGCATATGTAAAATTATGCTAAATTCTATGAGAAAATTTGAATTGAAGCAAAAATTATCAATTTCATTAGAAGCAGATTTCTGGGCCAAAAAAATATAAAGAAACTCTGCACAAAATCAAAGGCTTTTACAAGAATTGGGAGGTTTTGCATTGTAGAGCAGTTTGTCTAGACAAACTTTTTTTGCGCATGGTGGCTTTCTTTATCGGCTTTCATGTTGTTTATGGCAGAGGCTTGCAGCTTGGTTTTGTTGTCAATGATGTCTTTCTGCATATTTGTTGTTGTCTTGGCATCTTTTTTGGGGTCTTGTTAGATACTGTTTTGTGCTTCTGCATATCTGAGCATTTTTTTTTTTTTTGTTCTCATATATTTTGTTCGAAAATAATTGTAATCCATCCAGCAAATCTAAAATATGTGATTTCTAAAAGACACAGGTTTAAAGGTCAATTAATAACTATCAATGGAAGTCTCTCAATCATTAACAAAGCGAGGAAAGGCATTCACGCTGGATCAAGATATAGCAATTTGTAATGCTTGGTTGAGCATCACCCAAGATCCAATTGTTGGTAACTCGCAATCACAGAGTACGTTTTGGAATCGGATATTTCAAAATTATCTTGATCATTCCAACGACGAAAATGTACAAACACAAGTTGTTATCCAATCTCGTTGGGGCATAATCATGAAGTTTTGCAGTAAATATAGTCGGTGCGCCAAACAAATTGAAAATAGGCAACAAAGTGGAATCAATGAAACAGATAAGGTGAGAATTCTACTTTTCTTGTTAGTTGTAATTTTAATTTTTATACATCTAATTTTGTTTCATATCATTTTCTAGGTTCTTCAAGCAAAAAGTTTGTATTATGAAAATGAGAAGAAATACTTTTCTTTGGATCATTGTTGGGCGATTTTGGAACATGCCATTAAGTGAGAAAATTAGGGATCCTCCAAAAAGCCAAAGTCTCCTGCAATGACCCCATATTCCTTTTCCCCATTTTCCTCTTCCGCATCCCAAATTCCTGAGACGCCCATTTCTCTCGATTCCAATCAAAATTGAACCGAAAAATCTGTTGACTCCCCAACAACCAAAAGGCCTAGTGGAAAGAAAGCTGCAAAAGAAGCACGTAAGAAAAGCAAGATAGCAGACACTCGTTTTTGTAATTTGATGGAAAAATTTAACGAAACTACAACTGACAGATATATAAAAAAGTGTGAAATAGAAAAAAAAAAAGTTAAAGTACGTAATGGAGCAAATGAATCAAAGGGAGAAAGAAGAGAAAGAAGCCAAGATTATGATGATGGACCTTTCCAACATGGACCCTCAGGCGAAAGTTTATTACCAGCTGCGCAAGAATGAGATTCTTGCCAAACTACAAGCACGCTCAACAAACTTTGATTATTATGTTCCTTTTTCCCCATGTCCACCATGAAGGACAGGTGAAATTTAACACTTTCTAGGAATATGCTATTTTGGTTTGTTCCTTGTATAAAGTTTAGCACTTTCTAGAAATATGCTATTTTGGTTTGTCCCCTGTATGAAGTTTAGGACTATTTTGCAATATGTTATTTTGGTTTGTTCCCTGTATGAAGTAGTATGCTTGACAATGAAAGTAAAGGCAATGGACTGTGTTGTCGAAACTTTTTTTTGTTGTGCTTCATGAAAGCATCTATTTTCGTAATTTGGTTTGTTCTGGTAATATGTTTTTTTTTTTTTTTTGAAACAGAATCTCCATTGCAATAAACTAGCCAAATATTTTAATTTTTTGTAATAAGGCAAACAAGCCAAATAAATTTATTTATATTTAATAAGGCAAACACGCCAAATATTTTTATTTATTTTTAATAAGACAAACAAGCGAAATAAAATACAAACACTTAGAAAAAAAAAACGCACTTGTACACTATTTAGTGTACAAAACACACATATTAATAAATCAAGGATCCAAACAAAAGACATCTGAAACCCAGTTCTTCAAATCTGTCCTTGTCGTGAGCACAAATGTTCAATAAGATCATTGCGATGTCTGTGATGGATTACAGAAGATCGAATCATACCATGACGAGCTAGGAACTCAGAAAACAAGGGTGTCGGCTCCCGCGACACTTCAATTGGATGCACCGTTTCAGGTGCATCAAATATAATATATATATATATATATATATATATATATATATATATTCCCGAAAAAAAAAATTAAAAATATATGTATCATTTTGTTTTATCTCTCTCTTTTTTCTTTTCTTTTTTTCTTTTTTGGTCCTTTTTTGACTAGATATTTTAGATTTTTTATTCTTTTTAATTAAGTTTAATTTTAGTTTCCTTCTACTATCTAAAACTTGACTTAGAATGTGCCTAATATTAACATTACTGATGCAAACATGAATGGCGGGAATGGTAGTTGAAAAAGAATAGTGGTTGTGTTAAAAAATAGCATTTTCATCATGGAAGCAAAATTGCTAAAATATAGCATTTTGACACTGTAACACTGTCAAAATATAGATTTGGCATTTGAATTTAGCATTTTTGCATTGGAGATGCTCTAAGCCCTCTAATGTTCCAGAGTCCCCTACCAAATTTAGAAGATTTGAAAGAGAATGGACACCTACAAGTCACTGGTCTTGCTTGTCAAATTTCATTTATTGTCATTACATCCCTCAGTGTAATCTTTAAATTCAGCACATTATTTTTACCATTTAAAAAAAATTGATCGATCCACCAATTTATAAAATTACTAAAAACGATATAATATGATTAGATGAGTACACACACTTATTGGTAGAAAAGGAAGAACAAAGTTATTCTACCAAATAATGTTTTAGGCCCAGTTCAAAGCGGCCCATTAATACTTTTCATCACTCTGGACCATGAGCCCAGAAACCCACTCCTTATTAGTGTTTACAATGGGTTGGACCCAGTTCAAAACCAGTCCATTAGTAGACTTTTCATGAACGCGGACCAGGAGCCCAAGAGACCCACTCCCTTATTAGGGTTTATAATACGCCGTATGTTGCCCTAGTTCGACACAGAGAGAGTTGAAGACTAACGAGCAGAGAGAGAGAGAGAGAGGAGGTGGTGGAGAGAGAGATCATCAATGGCGCCTAAGACCCCTAAAGTGAGCCGAAACCCAGATCTGATTCGGGGCATAGGCAAATTCTCTCGATCGAAGATGTACCACAAGAGGGGTCTCTGGGCTATCAAGGCCAAAAACGGCGGCGTTTTCCCCCGCCACGACAAGAAACCAGCCGACCCCAAACCCGCCGAGAAGCCCCCCAAGTTCTACCCGGCCGACGACGTCAAGAAACCCCTCCTTAACAAGCGCAAACCCAAACCCACCAAGCTCAAGTACATATATATACGCACACTCGCACACACACATATATATACGCTTGTTTGCATTTGATTGTATAAGTCTTATTTATATGTAATGTTTGATTTATATGATATTATTGTACGTGTTGTGTTATTTCTGTAGGGCTAGTATTACTCCTGGAACGGTGCTGATTATACTGGCTGGGAGGTTTAAGGGGAAGAGAGTGGTGTTTTTGAAGCAGCTTTCATCTGGGTTGCTTCTGGTTACTGGTGAGCTTTTCAAATTTGTTCTTTGTGAAATGGTTTTAGTATATGAAAGCTCTTATTTTGTTTTTAAAGTATAATTTTGATTTTATGTTTATATTTTATCACAATTTGTCGCTTGATGAGCTGATATTTACACGTTTTTAGGCTGATTTCGTTGGGTTATATGCTGATTAATTTATTGTGCTTTGTTGGGTGGTGAGAGTGTGTATGATTGATTGTTTTGGTTTTAGATTGAAGCATGCTAATTAGTTTGTGCAATGAAGCTGGAGGATTGCAACTTGAGCATTTTAATTGGAAAAAAGCATGAAAAGTGGTTGTTATATTGTATATGTGGAAGTGATGTGGTAATAGCATCATCAAAACAAACTTATTAACTATAAAAATTTCTTTAGGATATTGTTAGAAAACAATTCTGAAATGGGTGATCTAACCATTTTAAAAAATATACAACTGCATAACCTATTAACTATTTCTTTCATACTTTTTAATAAATTTAGAAAGGAACCTCACTACACAATCTAGGCATCATTTAACATAGATCATTCTCCTGGGAACAAGCAAACCACATCACAGAAGCTAACAAGAAAGATTTTTTTACCCAACATGCGGACATCGTCAAAGGCAGTGACTATGATGATGTCATCCGTAGTGACGATCAACAACGAGGGTTGCTATCTGCACGACTTTCCACACACATGGTTTTATGCAATCGATAAAATTTTCTGGCTTGTGTCTCTTTCTAATTCAAAGTAAAGCTATTTTCGTCATTGCAAGACATACAGCAGCAGATGACTATCTGACTCCACACACGAGTGGTATTACACAATCCATCAAATTTCTGGCTGGCATCTCTTTCTAATTCAAAGTACAGCTATTTTCGTCATTGCGAGACATTTATTCCGGTCTTCACTTTCACTTCAAAGTAAAGCTATTTTCGTCATTGCGAGACATACAGTGGCGAAGGCAACGAGGGTTGCTATCTGCACGAAGTGAGATTGAAGACTGGAATAAATGTCTCGCAATGACGAAAATAGCTTTACTTTGAATTAGAAAGAGATGCCAGCCAGAAATTTTATGGATTGTGTAAAACCATTCGTGTGTGAAGTCTTGCAGATAGCAACCCTCGTTGTCGTTACCGCTGACGTCATTGTCACTACCGCTGACGTCATCATCGTCACTGCCTTTGACGATGTCCCCGTGTTGGTTTTGAGGGTGGTTAGCTTTTGTGATGTGGTTTGCTTGTTCCAAGGAAAACAATCTGTGCTAAATAATGCCTCGATTGTGTAGTGAGGTGTTTGGGATGTACTGCAACATTCCTTCTGAATTTATTAAAAAGTATGAAAGAAAACAGGTTATGCATTCATCGCTTTTTCAGAATGTTTTGATCGGCGGTTTCGGACCTGTTTTCTAACAATATCCTAAAGAAATGGTAATAGTTCATGAGTTTGTTTTGATAATGTTATTATGACATTACTTTCATATATAGAATATAACAACCACTCTGTTTGGTCTCTTTGTCACATTTTTAATGAGTTTATCAATTAGTGTCTCCTTGATATACGTTATCAGACTTTATGCTATTTTGTTGCTTTAATGTTGATGCCTTGACACATGTTTGCTCGTATGGTTCGTAGAAGGATTTGATCAACTCGTTTAGGTTTTTATTGTTAAATTAATAGTGCATCAAAACCGTAATGGTATTTTCCTGAGAGGTTTCACTTGGCATGCGTTTTTAGATGGTTGCATCTTTATGGTACCAGTGTACCACTATGATGCCTCAAATATGGTTCTGGATGGCCAGGACTTCCAATTTGGTCCTGTTAAGTGACATCCCTATATTAGCATTACCTGCATGGTATGCGATGACCATGATTTATAATTTGGCCTTAAAACTGACTTCCCTGTAGTACAATTTACTTGGCTCTGATATTTTAGCTGTTTCTCAATAAGATACAAAAATTATGAGATTATTTTATGACTGACTCTCAAGTTGACCTCAAAACTTATTTTTTTCTTTTTCGGTGGTTCTTGAAAATCATTCAAAGTAGAATCTGTCTTTGTTTAGGAATGAAATAGATGTTTAAAATTGGCGGTTGTGAACCGTTATTAGAATAGTTTGGTATAATCATTTAATTGTTCCAGTATCGATATAAGGGCCGAAATGGATTAGTATTATTTGTGACACTGACCGTAGCTGTGAATTTGTGAGTGGTTGATTTACTAGTTTATTCCTCTAAACTTTTACCTTGTGTGAATCACCACCAATCTTGCTCATGCCCTTTCTCCCCACTTTGATTTGGTTCTGTGCCACATTTATTCAGTCATAGAAATTGCTCTCATTTTGAAGTTATTCTCATTTTCCCCTTTGTCACTACAGGACCATTCAAATTTAATGGTGTTCCTCTGAGACGTGTCAATCAATCTTATGTTATTGGTACTTCAACAAAGGTTGACATAGCTGGAGTTAATGTGGAAAAGTTTGATGACAAGTATTTCGCAAAAAAGGTTGAGAAGAAGAGTAAGAAAGGAGAAGGCGAGTTTTTTGAGGCGGAGAAAGAGGTTTGTCCATTATCCCCTATGAAATTTCAAACTTGATTAAATTATTGTTTTTTTTTTACTTTTTATGTTCTTATACCCTGCAAAATGTAGGAAAAGAATGTGCTTCCGGTGGAGAAAAAAGATGATCAGAAAGCTGTGGATGCACCCTTGATAAAATCCATTGAATCCGTGCCAGACTTGAAGACCTATCTGGCTGCAAGGTTTTCGCTGAAGGCAGGCATGAAACCTCATGAGCTCGTCTTTTAGAGGAAGATTTTTTAAAATTATTAGAAATGATACTTTTATTCCCTTTTCATGTTTTGTTTTGATTGAACTTGATGTTAGCATCTGTATTATCGTTTTTTGTTTGGATAATCATCTAAGTTTTATGTTATGTTGGGCATTGCAATGTTAGAGGAATTTTCCTTTCTTCCCCCAAGAGAGTACAATGGATCTAATATATATCTATATAATCCATATAAGATTTCTTCATATTCAGTTGATATAGCTGTGTGGTGTTCTTTGAGGGTGGATTGATGAATAATTGCATAAACAGCCTAGGCTCTGAGCCTTTTTTTTCTTTTGCTTATGCTGTTGCCTTGCTTTTTTGTGTCTTGTAATTTGCTTTCTTGATGAAAACTCTTTTACTTTACGCATGTTATTATAGTGCTCGTATGTATGTTGTACAAACAATTCTCTTGTAAAGAGGCTTCCTGATGAAAAAGACTTCAAACATGACATTAAAATTCATACATGAAAAGTTATTTATCAGAAAATAAAAAATACTTGGTTCGCTCTGTCAAGAGCTTTAAAGCAAGCTGTCTGTTCGAGCTGGCAATCTCTTAAAGAAATTGCTAGGAACAGAAGGCAACTTGCTTCGGAACCTAGGATGTCGCAGCATATAAAGTCCTGCAACTAAAGCCACAACTCTAAATGGGGTCACATAGAGCACCACCGCGGCACAAAGACAGAACATTATGAAAAGGCTGGTTGCTCTCGGGTCTCTCCAGCTGAGTAGTGACGAAAATCTTTCCCCTTGCGTAGCTATGTCTCCCACGACTGTTTGAATCCTCCCAGCCACACTTCTGAGCCTGTCATACCTCATTCGAACTACATCGTGTGATTTGGTAGATGGGAATGTGTCGAATTCTTCATCAAGCTCATCTGGGTTCACTGCCTCTGCCCACGAAAGTTTAGTGTCCATATGAGGTGGGTGTCTTGGTCTGAATCTATAGTTCCATAGCCCGATTAGGAACATGTAGAGACAGAGAGTAGGCAGTATCAGCTCTGGGTACCAGATCAGTATCAGAAACAGAACATGAAATAGAACTGATGTGATGGGGTTCTTCCAATGGCAAACATCACCAAACCATCGGCTCACTGATATCATACCAGAAAGTAGGGACATGATCCTAAAGAAGTTCGCTTTGCTTCTTCTCATACTCCACATGTGGGAATCCACGTCTAACATATACTCAACCACCTCCTTTCTGAGTGGTGGTTCAGCTCGCCCAAGCCTTACGGCAACAATATTCATGGCTTGGTATCTCAGATTGTCTACTTGGTTCACTGTGAAAGGATGCAAGTAATGCATTTTTGGCAGCAAGGGATGGCCATAAAGGTATATCGTGTGAGCTAGAGCTAGGCTAGTGAACCGAACAGCTAGTTGGAGCTCACCCATCTTCTTCACCCCAGATGCATGCAGAACAAGAAGTGGGTAAGAATGTGTGTAGATACGATGAGCTTCTAGCGTTGATAGCCGAATCCGTACCTTTCCAATCCGCGAGTCGCGTGCTGCACCAGCACCATTTTGCTCACCTCCCAAGTGGCAGTTGTCGAAAACTCCCATTGTTATCACCGTGCACGGATCATAGACTTCCCATGTGTATTGCTCATTCCATTTGGGACTGAAGGTATCAAGAATTGTTCTGGTTCGAACCCATTTCTGGCCATATTTGGCCACACAATAAGCATCTGTACTTCCTCGACCATTTTTCATCTTCATGGGCAGAAGGCCTTGTGCGCCTAATATACCCACTTCCAATATTCCAACTGGCTGCTTCCAGAGCTGTCTTGCCGTTGGCCTCTGATCACTTAGGTACATAGTTGTTTCATCTAGTACATGGTATCCACCTTCAAGGCAAACTCTCAAATGTATCCTGCTTGCAAACTTGAGTTCTTTCCTCCTGTCAGCTTCCAGAACACCAAAACCAAACTTCTCGAGGTTGAACCATCGAGAATGGACTGGCCGGTGGTCAAGCCTCTTCTCAAAAATGTTTAGTGGTAGACTTAACTTCCCCAGCACATCATCTTTTGCAGGATGTACTCGGTCCTCAACAGTAAGGACCAGTTGTTCCTCAAAAGGCTCGGCAGCTACAAAGACAAGATCTTCATTCCAGAGTGGGTTTGCTGTGCGAGTTGGGCTCACCTTCGTTTTGAGCACTTGGTTTCCCACCTGGGCTTTCGCAAAAACATCAGGGAGGCGGCTTTTGTCATTTGGAATAATGTCCTGAGCTTCAATGATGTTTACCCTGAGGTACCAAAGTTTTGGTGAGACATAAACTTTGGACCGGATGTTGAAAACACCCTCTCCCTGCACATATGAAGCATCTGAATGCCATGCCTCAGGAAAGGCCTCGTCGGCTTGTGTTCCCATCCAAACTGCAACCATGATTTGTCCCCTCACCTTCCCTTCCCCACGCCTGTCCTCCAATCTGTACCACTGGGGAGCCAGCGGGCTATCAGGTGGAACCCTCGTTGGAACCTCATTCAGGTCAAAAAGCACCCTTCCAAGATAATCATCTCTTCCTATCATTTCTTTATCCTTTACAAAAACTTCTAGCGAAGATGATTGAATACGATCTTTGGAGAAAGCAAATACCTGGTTCCACTCGGGGTTCAGTTTCTTCTCAAAATGTTTTGTCCTTCCTTTATAGTTCCCGAGCTTCACTTCTACATAAGGATCGCAGCTACCGGTAATGGAGCTGGGCGGAAGATCTTTGGCCTTCACAACTCGAACATAAAGATGAAACGTCTGCTCCACAAGGTCATAGGTGCTTGTGAATCTCTCAGTGCTCATCCACCCCCTTCCGCCATATGATCCTCCACTTGGCCACCGTTCACCAAGTTGGGGATTCGTGTCCTTCAATTCAAAATCTTCTTGGTGGCTAGGATGAGGTTGTGGATTGACCTGTTGATGCATTGTGAAGAGGACACCTTCTGGTTGTTTTCCCACTGATAGGACTGGTTGCTGCAGAACTTGGTGCTTGTATATGTGTTGTGTTGTCTCTGTTCTTACTTCAACAGGTTCTTTGATCTCTTCCTTTGGCTCTTCAGCAGGAATGCTGCAACTAGACTTAACTGCTGCAAAATGAGAAATAGGACTTTCAATGACAGCAAGTGTGGGAATTTCTATTTCGGGTGCATCTGTTGTCACTTTAGGAGTGTCAACAATGGCAAGTGCAGATTTGGGAAGAGCAGATGATGTGTTACTAATGCTTGTGGTTTCTGAAACAAGAGGATTGGAAGGAGGAGGACTAGAGGTTGCTAAGGGTTGCAATGGTGGTGAAGAGGATAAAGGAGGAGACTTGGGCTCGGATTCTTGCGAGAGATAAACTTTGAGGCCAATCTCACCTTTGACAGATGAGAAAAACCACTTATTTTCTAACCGGAATGCTTGATAAGCTTCTTCGCCTTTCTTGACAATGTTTGAGCAAGGAATTCTCACCCTTCCAAGAAAGTTTCGGCCAGGAAGTGGTTTCCTCTCATTGTAAACAGAGACTTCAATGGATTGATGGTTGTAGTTTTTGGTTTTGTCGAAATTGAAGAAGAGCTTTTGGTTCCAAATGGGGTTTAGATTTTTATGGACACTTCTGGTTCGACTTAGCTGGTTTTCGAAATCAACTTCTACGAATGGACTAGCTGACCCTTCACCATCTTTGGGCATAAGATCATGAGCATCTACAACTTCCACCACTAGCTGCATGCTCCTTTTACTTCTGGCTTCGCTGCTGCGAGAAGCTACTAGGAAGTGGCTCTGCACAAGAAACCTCAAGACTCAATTGAGAAGCAAAGAGGTTCTAATTAGGAAAGCATTGGGATTCTCTCTCTCTCTCTCTCACACACACACAGATTGTAGGTAATGTTGTGATGTGAAAGAAAAGAATGCTTTGATGAGGAAGCTTCTGTGATTTCTGGAATGAGCTAGAGGGAAATAGAGGGAAGGCATAAACTTTGTTCAAAAGTGATAAAAGTGAACCATGAAACAAGGCCATTTTATATTATTGGTTTGCAGCACAATAGAGGAAATTAAAGGATTATTTTCCAAGAACTTCCAGACCTGTGCTATACTTGATTGCAAATAGAGTGGTATGAAAAGGAAACAATAATCTATTAGGTTCAAATGCTTGTTGCACAATTCCAACTTGTTTTTTCATCTTGTCCCCCCTTTAGCCAATCAAACATACAGAAATTTAGCTTAAAAATGATTTAAACATAGCTGACAAACATAGCCTTTATATTTAATTATGTGATAAAGTGCGCGTGTTGTATTTTTCATTTTTTTCCTTTCTTTCCATATGTGTTTCTAAAGCTACATATCTTTGTTAAATGAATATATATCTTATATTGGTTGTTTAGAAAAACAGGGGTGCAAAATATATCCATGTCCTCCAAAGCTTTGTATTTTTGTTAGTATTGGATGATTATACGGTCTTCCAATGATGACATTCTTGATGTCACTTGTTCTTTCAATAAAGTAAAAAAGAGTAAATTTCTTAATTATCACCTAAATTAATAAAACCAAGAATGGATTTATTATTTATTCTTTCTTTTTTTTCTTTTTTTTGCTTTTTTGTTTTTTGTCTCCCTAAGAATGAGATAATGTGTTGTCTAGGATTGATTGCTGTTTAACTAGGTTTTAATGCATGATTAAAGCAAATATTATTGTGAAGTGATAAATTCTATTTTATATAGTCATGCTATTACTATTTTGATTTCAATGTAACAAATGATCTTTGTGGATTAAAAAATTGAAGATTCTGATTAGTAATGCTTCACTTTTTTTAATAAAATAAGAATTCAAACAGTGGTGGGAATGCATTACTTGGATCCTCTGTTGTGCTTTAGGGACATTCCATTCTTCTTAGTGCAGCAATATCTATGTGAAAAGAGAGGAGGTGAAGAGTTAAAAAGTCATACAAGAAGATGAAAGAAAAGCATAAAGCAAACCCTAAAGGGCCTAAAGTTTAAGGGCTTGTGATGTTGCCCAAAGATGCTTTTCCTGTGACTTATTCTCTTTCTTTTTTTAATCTTCCTTCATTATTGTTTCTAACCCCCTTTATTCTATCGCCCAGCTCATCTCCCCCGCGAAGTCATTCGTACATTGACTTCCAAGCAACTTCTCCTTAGTAACTTTGAACGGGCATTATTATAAAAGACCGTAACTGGTATTTCTTTTACACCTTACAACAAAATGAGAGAATTCAGGCATAGGTTCTCTTCGTTGTCAAAAAAAAAAAAAATGGGTGAATGATTATGAGAAATGCAATCACATTTTAATACATTTTTAGTTATGAGGGTGTAATGTCCACCCTCGATGAGGATACGATCACACTTTTCGATGACATTGATGGCATGGTACTCTTAGTACATGGAAAATGTTCTCCATGCTACATTTTGTGACTTGTAAGTGGTTGCCCTGAAAAGATAAAAATGGAAAGAAAAGTACATTCTCTCCAAACAGAGGTTAAAATCGAAAGAATATATATATATATTTAAAAAAAAAAAAAAAAGTTTAAGATCATCCAATTGAGTTGATTGTTTGTTCAACCCATAAAGTGATGCCATTTGATCTTTATAAACATTGTTGGCTCTAAATCTAGCTTCTTTCTGCTCATTTTGTGGTCCCTAATACTCATGCTTAAAAAGCTCATTTGTGGTCCCTAATACTCATGCTTAAAAAGCTCAGTAATTAAGCAATGAAACAACTGGTGTAAGCATAATAATTGTTTTGGCACTCCACAACAGCTTTTCATTCAATATTGGAAATATATATAGGGGTAACCTTCATCCCACATGACCATATCCATGCCATTTCAAAGTCCCAAAAAAGCCAAAACAAAACTCTCGAGCTTCTCTAATTTCCTTTGGCACCTCACACACTCACAAATAATGAGAGAGACTCGCGAGGTCGAAATTGATTCAATTATGTGACAATTGTTGAAGTAAACACGATAAAAAGAGATAAGAGTCCAGCTTATTAATTACTGTGTAAGAGTTCTTATTAGACATTATTCATTAAAATTGTAATAAATAAATAAATTCGGACTTTGTAACACTACTCAAGAATTTGTCATTTTTTATATTAACTTTTTAAAAAATAATTTCAAAAAAACACAATTTATTTATTTATTTTATTTTACCTAAACAAAAATACATTCATACTCCAACTTAATCTTGGAGACTTGAAGCATCGGTCTTCTATTTTTACATCAAAAGGAAGATGGGACTTGCTTGGATAGTTCAGCCACTCCATGAGCAAAACATAAGGCTTGGTGGACCCCAATTTCCATGGGGTTGAGGTAAAACTCTGGTGGGCTAAAAACCAAATAGGCCCAAATCCCTTCTGATTGGGTTTTAGCTTTAGACTAATTTATGGAAATTGGGGTCCACCAAGCCTTCATCCAATGGGCTTTTTCAAAACTTCAACCATTGTATTACATGTGTGGATGTATTGTCCTTGGGCCTACGAGCCCTTTTCCCTTTTAATTTGATACTAGTTTGATGACCACCAAATTTCTTTATTTTTGTATTTCTATAACTTAAAATAAAATACTTAATACACACGTCCATAAATTTATAAAAAATTAAGGCTACTTTTGGTACACGATAATATAATGGAATGGAAATGGAAGGTAAGTAGAATTTTGAATGAGGATGAGAAAGCAAAGAAATTATTATTCTCATTTTATTATGGTTACAAGTATAAAATGATGTGATGTTTTAATATTTAGTTGGACCAATTTAAAATCGATAATAGAATAAATTTTAAATTAAAATTTTTAAAATGTCTTTCCTAATGACAAATAAATTAAACTATCAAAATGACATATTTCTGTAATTTTTTTGAAAATTGATATTAAATTTTTGGCTCCATTTGATGGAGTTTCCTAATAATTTTAAAGATTCATTTCGGCTCTGTTTGTTTCGATATAAAATATTTTTAAATATATATATATATATATATATATATATAGGTGTTTAGTAAAGGATTTGTAAAATAACTTGTCCAAAATTGATGGATAAATTATTTTATTTAAATTTTAATATTATTTTCTTCGTAAATATTTTTACCACAACTAAACACAAAAAATAAAAATAAAAATATTTTTTGAAAAATAGTTTACATCCAAACAAACGGAGCCTCCATTTAAATTATTTTTCTTTTCTCTCTTGTTTATTCACAAAGTATTAGAAATTTATTTGATAAGTGAAAATTGCAAATGCACTTGTCACACAAAATTACCTCATTAAATTACATGTGTGGATGTATTGTCCTTGAGCCTATGAGCCCTTTTCCCTTTTAATTTGACACTAGTTGATGACCACCAAATTTCTTTATTTTTGTATTTCTAGAACTTAAAATAAAATACTTAATACACACGTCCATAAATTTATAAAACATTAAAGGTTACTTTTCGTACACGAGAATATAATGGAATGGAAAGAAGGTAAGTAGAAATTTGAATGAGGATGAGAAAGGAAAGAAATTATTATTCTTATTTTATTTTGGTTACAAGTATGAAATGATACAGAAATTATATAAAATTCTAATATTTGGTCAGATCAATTCAAAATCTGTAGAATAATCTTTTTTTTTAAATGTTTCTTAGCAACAAATAAATTAAACTATCAAAATGATATATTTCTGTAATTTTTTAAAAAATTAATATTAATTTTTTGGCTTCATTTGACACAAAGTATTAGAGATTTATTTGATAAGAGAAAATTGCAAGTGCAATTGTGACACAATTTCAGCCATTAAATGAGTGGACTTTTGTTGTGGGACCTATAGGGTTTGGGACAACATGTACATGTGCATTTGCATAGCATAACTCATTTCGAAAACTAGGTCATTTTCATTCCTCAAAAACAATAATCTAGGCCTGTTCCCAAACAGACACAGAGAGAGAGAGAGGAGTCTCCAAAAAGCTTGGCCTAAAATAAAAAATAAAAAATAAAAAAAAAAAGAACCTTCATTAAATACCATACTTGTACGTTCTCTCCAGAACTTTCTATTCTAATAACACGGAACGGAAGAGTGGTGGCTCTTCTTTTTCCCCAACCCCTGAAATCAGGGTTTTTCTAGGGTTTTAGACATTTATCTGTTCCTCGCATCGCCTCACTAAAACCTAAAGAGAAAGCTTAAAACCTTTTAAAAAAAAAAAAAAAAAGGCCTAATGGTTCGCTCTAATGGCGTCAGACTCATCCACTGGCTCGCCCGCAGCGCTATTTCCCGGAACGCTCTCCAAGATTCCCCAATCGACGTACTTTTTCCCTTTTCTCTCATAATTTCTTTGTCTAAAGCTGTGGATTTACGCGTGTATATATATATACGTGGATATATAGATATATTGATTGTTATTGATTGCAGATATACGGATCGTTGTCACGAGGAGGTTTAAGGAGGTTCAGTTCGGCAATTTGCAACCATCCCAGGGTCCTTACAATTCCCAATTCAGGAAATGGTATCAAGATTCCTTTTTTTTTTTCCTTCAATGTTCAATTTTGTTTTCTTTCGGGTTTTGATTTATGTTTCTTGAATACACAGTTAATCATAGGAACTGGTTCCGACTTGGGGTATTTAAAACCAACTGGGATGCTGCAAGGTCAATTCATAGCACTGGTATTGATTTTACTCTTATTTTTTGGATACTTCTTTATGTTCTGTTTGGTCCCCAAGAAAATGTTGGAAAATAAATGGAAACAGAACATCTATAGTTATACTTGGGTACACATATATGTTACTTAGACCTAGGAAAGTAGGCAGGTTACTCTGCTAAAATTAAAAAGTTCCTATTTAGATCAGTAGATTTTATTTTTCAGTTGTATACAACTAAAATAATGGAAAATGAGACTCAAATTTATTTTTGTTTTCCTTTCAGAGGTTTTTATTTATATATTTTATCTGGTTTGTTAGATAATGCAAGGAAAAGATATATATATATATATATATATATATATATATTTAGTATTACATGTTCAAAGTCTTGGTTTGGGGTAACAATTCGGTGTAGTTGAAGTGAACTTTTTACAGTAAAAATATATAAGAAGTATTACATGCATTCACACAATCTGATTCTTAACACTGCATGTTTTCTTTTTACAGTAGATTGTGCAACGTTTTTTTTTCCTTTATTCCATGGGATGTCAAAGTCATTTTTTAGTCATATTTTGCTAAGTTTGTGTTTGTCTTTCCTGATCAGCATCTATGGCTGCAAAAGATTATTATGACACACTTGGTGTAAGTAAGAATTCAACTGCATCTGAAATCAAGAAAGCTTATTATGGGGTATGTATCTACCACTCTACATTTGAAAATATGCAAATGTGAATTTTATTCTTTGATTAGGCTATTAATTGTGGACGGAACTTATTAAGATTGTAGTGCTGACTTTCTTACTTATTATTCAATGTTGTTTGATATGCCATCCATTCATTTTCTAATTTCTTATGTGAATTTGTCATTGTTCTCCAGCTTGCAAAAAAACTACATCCAGATACAAATAAAGACGACCCTGAAGCAGAAAAAAAGTTTCAAGAAGTCCAAAAGGCTTATGAGGTAAAATTGATTGTGAACTGAAATAATTGATAATCTTGTTTTATATGCACAGAATGACTGGAAAACATTCCTGTTTCTACTGTTACAGGTTTTGAAAGACGAGGAAAGACGTCAACAATATGACCAGGTTCATGAATAATTTGTTTATGTATATAATTTGCTAAAATGATGTTGCTTAAACTGTATACGGAAGTAGAGGTGATAGAGTGTTACTAAACTTTTGCGTACCCTTGTTATATATGGCGACCATATTTCTTTCTTTCTTTCCTGCTCCCTTTTGTTATAGAAATTAGAAATAGTATCGAGTTATTTTGAAGAGTTGAACTGAACAGGATACTGATGAGGTCAACTTCTTAAGTTGACACGTCATCAATTATCAACTTAACTTTGAGGTTGACTAACTAGTAATATACAAGTAACACTTTTATATATAAGTAAATAACTGTAATATGTATTGTCTATATACAATATAAGTAGCACTTATACGTGTAACTGGTGTATATTCTCTTATATTATTATATTGTATATGTTACAACATATAAAGTTCAGCATGACATGGTCCAAAGATTTGACCTGAGAAAGATCAGGCCACTTTGAAGTTTGAACCCAAATTCTTCTAGCTCGGACCATCCCATTCTGGCACATGTAACACCTCTACTCATTCTATTCTTAATACCCTTCTGGGTAATCCTTTCCTTGATTTGAAGCTGGAGTGTGACATCAGAATGTGACCAATTTATTAAAGGTATCACGATCAATAGAACACACTTGAATCTTTTAACCATATTGAACCACCATCACCTCTTTGCTAGTAACGGCTCTTTAATTTTATGTAAAATTCATGAGAATTTAAATATTGGCTTATGGAAAGCTTTTAGTGGTTCGCAATTCTCTCTCTATTTCTCTATCTCTACATGTTTGTTTGTTAGGTTATTATTATTATTATTTTTTTTGCATAAACATTTACTGTGTCAGTGGAGATGTTTATATGTTACATATGCTTGTCATCCTTTAAATTGTTGTGTTCAGTTTTTCTTAGCCGCTAGGCCCGCTATAAATTTTGTTAAAATGCCTATCTCAAAGTGGTACCTCGATCCTCTACATTTGATAGTGAAGATGAGGAAAAGCTAAAATTTGACAAAGTAGATAAGTTGAGAACATATTTTTTCTCCACCACTCATTTAATTTAATTTATATTCCATTAGAGTTGTAATATCATGTATTTTATTTTTAATATAACATTTGAGGTATTAAAATGTATAAGACTTGTCTGCATACTCTTGCCCAACTTTGTAAATAACTTTCGGATACATGTCTTGTCATAACCCTTTATACTGGAATTTGGGATTTAAGTCAGTATGACACCTGGACACATAGCTGTACCTGTTGCATGCATTTGAGTCCATGTAACGTAGAGAGAAGCACTCTCTCTCTCTCTCTCTCTCATGCATTTGTAGTGCATAGGCCAATATTTTTGCAATTACTTTTGAAAGTTCCAGTTGGGGTGTGGCAGTCTTGCTCAGTTAAGTGATTTGATTTGCTAAGCACTAGTCTGGAACTCGTCCCATGGAAAAATTACTTTACTGCTCTCTATTGTCAATTGTATATATGGTGGTTGCTATCAGTTTTGCACTGTCATTTCTTTTTTGATTGTTTTCTCTATTAATTTTAGTCAATTTTCTTGTAAAGTTTTTCCCTCTTCTTCTAACGATTAGAATCATATTTTTGTTTCTTTTATGCACAATCTAACAGGTCGGCCATGAAGCTTTTGAACAAGCTGCAAATGGTAGTGATGGTGGTGGTACATGGAGTCCTGGGTTCAATCCATTTGACATATTCGGTACTGAAAATGTAAGGGCTTCATCCTGAGTATATTTAAATTATTTCTTAATTCTATGATTTATGGCTTCTCTTCACCTGTTGAAGTATTTGTATTTCTCATATTCTTCATATGCTGATGAGAATCTAATGAATGTTGATTTAGAAGAACATTTGGATTTGTTCCTGTTTAATATAACAAGAAAAAATTAAATAAGTTATGCATACTCATGGAACATAGGAGCAAAAAGTATAGTAGTAGCTGATGGTCATGGTAGCTGGATGATAGGGATGCAGTATTTGTTAGTTTATGGCTACTTTCTGTTAACACCTTACCTTGTGGAGCTTGTAGTTCTATTGCTAACTGGTAATCTTCAGCCCATCAATTTGGGGTGTCAAGTTTATGATGTTTATCTGTTTTCGTTTGACTTTCCATGTACAATTTTACTTATTGATTGTCGTATTTTTATCCTGTTCCCTTTTTTTTTTTTTTGGGGGGGGGGGGCGGGGGGTGTTGTGTAACGCTTGATATAATGTGAGGCCTAAGGCAAAAGTTTTAATAAGGCCTACACCACAACTTCCAATATCACCTTTACCACCACGCCATGGTAGTTTCTTCGACTCCAAAAAGTTTCTAATCAATTACTTGCACATAATGTCGTAGACATTGTTTACACTCGTATTATACCAAGGCACATTTTTCGTCATACCCTCTACATATTTTCACAAAACTCCCACTCTTGTCTATCCAAACACAACTTGCACTAAAAAGTAATTATAGACACTAAAGCTCAACATACACATGGACAAACAAGTAATTAAGCTAACATTAATCATATACAACACCCATAAAAAAAACCCATCAACCAAATGCACATTGTATCATATTGCACTGTTATCACTTTTTATTTTATTTTTACATTCTGAAGGATAATGGAAAGTATTTGAAATTATCTCAATAACTAGTATGGACATGAATAAGGTTTATGAGAAACAAATTTTTTATTTTATTTTTTGAATAATGATAATTGCAACTTCATGTTTTTGGTGATTGTAATTGTTTTTATCAAAGAAGCACGGACATGGATAAGACACAGACACGGCGACACGGCAAATCCAAAACAATTAGGACACAGACACAGCAAATAGTGTATATATGTGTGTGTGTGTGTGTGTGTGTGTGTGTGTGTGATGTGATACTTTAAAAATTACTGAGTGTAACTATTTTTCATCAACGTCACAATGAAAAAAAACACAAATCATAACTCATAACTAATAAACTATAAAAGAACAATGTTGCATAGTTGTAAAACCAAATAAAAAACAAGACATTAGAATAATAACTAGTATCATTTAATCATCACAGCAACTTTACTCCAAATATAAAAGCATAGGCAGAAAGGACTATTAACATTCATGACTGTTTATCATTCAGGATTTTACTGTTAGTACTTAACATTCACAAAAACCTAAAGGCTAGTCCCCAAAAAAGATACAAAAACAAGTCAATGTACTATCATCTATTCCCATCCATCATTTGACCTTAGACTTTTACCATTTACAATACCAAAAGGATAGTACAAAACAAAAAACAGAACATATCAGCATTAAATATTAAAAAAAAAAAAAAAAAAAATCCAGACACGTGTCTGCGGAGTGTCCGAGCTGTGTCTGTGCCATGTCCGAAAAATAAAAAAATAAAAAAATTCCAGACACGTTTTTTAATGTGTCCGACACGTGTCTGGGCGTGTCCGTGTCAGACACGGATTCTTCGCCCATTTTGGCGTGTCCGTGCTTTCTCGGTTTTTATTTATTTGTTTTTCTTTTGTCTCAAAACACAGTTAAATTCGAGAATCAACGTTTTTCAAATCAGATAAGTTGGATAGATTCATGACTCTGGTCTATCCTACATGAATAGAAAAAAAAAAAAAAAAAATGCATGAGAGCAGTATATTTCATCTCTTTCTATTATTTAAATTTTACGACAGTTGTAATTCAACATATTATTACATTATGTTTGTGTAAAATAGAGTATATTAAATAATAAAAAAAAACTATTATAATTAGACTTGCAATAAAAACTAAAAGTTACTTTAAAAAAATAAAAGAACAAGAAGATTACATAACGGGTCCTTTTCCCCAAATGGGGCCTTAGCCCTGATAGCACATTAGATAGATTTTTATTCTTCAAGCTTTGTTTCATTGAATAAAATTTTATTTATTTATTTGCTTTTAGATTTTTTTTTGTGTGTGTTTTAGTCAGCCTGTCAGGACTTGATTATTATTGTCTTTAGAAACCTTAACAAGAACAGCAATTCAGACTTGTTAAAGGACACAAAAGAAGTCCAGTAAACTTAATCAACTTAAGAACCACACTTCTTCTTTTCACCTTTCCTTGCGCTAACCTGAACACATTGTTTTACGAGTGCTTGAACACATTCTTGGGGATTAATTTGATGAGTTGATGATTTCTAGGGGAAAAAGGGACTTATGCACCATTTCTAAATCCCGTGTGCAAAAAATCTAGACACAAGCTTACAGAGTGGCCTCTTGATTTCTTGATCTAGTTAAATTCTAGCCTAAAGAGCTAATACATAGGGTTGTAAATGAACCTAGCCAAACCAATATATTAAACAATTCTCTTTCTTTTTAGAACCAAATTAGCCCAAACCCATTTATACCCCAAGCCCATCATGATTCAGAACTTCCACGCCTTGCTAGAATATGAGAGCCTGTTTGGTTCAGTTTTCTAAAAACAGTTCTCAAGAACAGGAAAATATTTTAAGGAATTATAAAAGCAAGTTTTTATCAACTTTTTTTACCTGAGTTTTTAGAAACTGTTTTTGGAAACTGTCAACGAAACAGATTCATGTACAATTTGCTGATTTTCAGTTTTCAAAAGCTGAACCAGACAGGCCCTCAGGATTCTGTCAGGTGTAAGCTGAGAATCAAGAGGAAGTAAAAGAGGTTAACCGTTATAAACTCCTACCTGCTATATGACCAAAATATGATCAATTCCTAAAGTATGAGAAAAGACAAATAAAGCATACCAACAGCAAGTATAATATGAAGGCTTAAATTAAACTGAGACATGTTACTATATCATGGCACTACTATGAGATTTTGGTGGTTAATGAGATATTGTTGGAGATTTTGGGTCTCAAAAAAGAAATAGAATTTCTTGGAATCTTGGTCAATGCAATTGGCATGATATGTTTCCCAAGAGGTAGCCAATTGGATACTTACAGAAAAAAAGAGGTAGCCAATTGGATAACTTTTTATTTTTGATTCTTTTTCTCTTTATCTTTTGGCTTAGGGTAACTGCTTTTGTTATTGTCCTAGGGTTGCAACCTCTGTATTCTCTTTGGGAAAATTATTCGTGTTGTCATCTGTCTGGGTTTATTTATGTTATTGGCGTGTGTTGTACTTGCTGAATTTCGTAAAACATAATATATATTTGACTGTGATATCTAATCTTTTTTTTTATTTTTATGCTTGAGAACAGATCTTCACCAATATTTTTAATAGGGGTATGGGTGGCAAAGATGTCAAGGTTTTGATCCTTTCCTCCTGTGTTGGTGATTTTTGTGCATCAAGTTTTGGTATTTGGGGTTTGTTTCATTTTTTACTTGTCATGCATAGGTATCCGTTGAACTATCCTTTATGGAAGCCGTTCAGGGATGCACCAAAAGTGTCTCATTCCTGACTGAAATGCTTTGTGAAGCTTGTGGTATGACAATAGTCCTTTGTGCAACTATATTTTGTTATCTCTTTTAGCACCATTTTGAGCTCCTTTCATTTGGTACATTTAGTTCTGTGTGGTAAATGGGTTTCTCTGATCATTTTATTGTTGCTTGAATACATCAGGTGGTTCTGGAGTTCCTCCCGGAACCAGGCCCGAAACTTGTAGACATTGTAAGGGCGCAGGCATGGTGAGTTTTCTTGTGCTTTTATTTTTAATCATGATGATAACCAGATTAGTATTTCTATTAATAACATTTGGTTTTGCATGTCTCTAGATATACAAGCAAACTGGCCCGTTCCATATGCAGGTTACTTGTCCCCAATGTGGTGGAAGTGGGAAAACTGTAAAGGTAAGTCGACGGCATCATCAGAATATTCAATTTGTATTGATCTTGTCTTGTATCCACGACATGTGTGTGGTACTCATGTTGCAAGGATGCCATGTGCAAGTGCAACTATAATTTTATCTAATTTGAGTTTATTAATGTAATCATTGTGCAATTTATCCAATAAAACAGTAATGTGTTGTGGCAAACGAGAAATCTTATAGGCTGCTTGATGGATATACGAGTTTGTGACCTTTCGTTTTGCTTGTTCGTTGAATAATAGGTTATGTTGCAATAGTAATATGTGATCATTTGACAAAATCAATTAGGTTGTTCCATTCACTTTTTGTCTTTTTAGAGATTGACAAAGCGGCACTTTCTCAATTATCTTATAGAGGACATTAGGAGCTTCTTTTTGTCCTCCTTTACTGAAAGTAGTAAAGGCTGAAGAAGTTTGGGATGGTGAGGTTTAGAACTTTTGTCATCCTGTAGATTTTACTGTGAGTGTTCTTGCCGATTACTGGATGATCACGACGTGTATGTGGGCATGATAATGGCACACGTGTTAGTTGAAAAGAAGTCAGCCCTTTATGTAGCTCTAATGTTGTATGCCTAACATAGATAATGGCCTGGATTCTTTATTTTTTTTATTATTATTATTTTTTCTTTTGGGGTTGGGAGGTTAGGATATCTTTGGCTGGTTTTGGTTTTTTGGACCTTCGATTGAAGCCTAAAGCAGTTCACTTGTATTGAGATAATGCGTACTCGTATTGGTGTATATATTTTGACATTAATTGCTTTTATATGTGGAGTTATATAAATGTGCAACCTTATAGTGTCTATTGGAAAATTGATTTACAGGTAAAAAATAATGAGTTGATATATTAATATCTTTATTTTCTTTTACAAAGCTAATTTTTTATGCAAGGTCCCAGTTGCCTGAATATTTTGATAATATACATTAGATTCCTTGGTGAGATGAATGGATTTCAACGTCTTGTCTTTCACATACTTGGTCCTATAAAAATTAGGAGATTTGCGAAATGATCCAAGTCAAACATATGGTCACATACTAGGAACAAGAAAAAGTCATTCTGTCACACCAGGGTAACTAGTAAGTCTGGCTTGGTATTTGGCTTTGCCTTAAGAAGTTGTCGGTTTATGCTCTCTGTTGTTAGGTATTCGATTTGATGCTGTGTTATTGTCAAGTGGATGGTTTTTAGCAAGTAGATTTTTACAGAATCTTGCTTGCTTGTACATATTTTTCTTTTTTCCATCTTAGGCTTTTAGTTTTGGCTCATAATTATTTTCAAATTTCTTCAAAAGTTAAGGCTTGTTTTCTTTTCTGTCAAGTTTGTTTTTAAAACCTTACATTGGGTGATGTTACACTAAATGGTAGCATTGATACATGTACCACCTATCTACTTCTGATTTTGTAGGACTTTTATATTTTGGTGAATGTTATTTTGGATCTGCAATCCTTGGACTTTAAGGAGTAAACCTAGAGGTCTCTTAGTATGAGGTTTATGCATAAACTGAGTGGAGGCGAATCTCCTTAGCACCTATTAAGTTTAATATTAGATCCTAATGCCTTGTGACTTTCTTTTGTAGTCATTTCCTTCTCCTCCTTATTCTTATTTTATTCTAAATTTAATATACATATTTTGGTTTCCTTTCGAAGTATAATGGAAATCTGTCACAAATTGATTAATTTTGCATCTCATTTTTTTTTGATATGCTAAACATGTGGAGTGGATGATTTATATCAAAATTGGTGCTGATCTACTACCTTTTATGGTTGGTGCACAGAACTTCTGCAAGTCTTGTAAAGGCGAGCGGGTAGTGATGGGATCAAAGTCTGTCAAATTGGATGTTATGCCAGGTATTATCTGTTTCATTGAATTGGGGACTGTGCTAGTGAATGGTTCATCATATTGTTCAAATGACTTTCTATCTTATCCATCGAACAGGAGTGAAAGTTGTTCAAATATTGTCCCTTAGTGTTCTGTAATTAACACAAACCCCTCCTTGAAGTTAAATTTATCCATGCCCCCCTTGAGGTATTGCTAAGGTCATTTAATGTTGGAGATTAATGTTGCTTTATTTCGAACAATATTTTGCAATGCTCCTTGGAGGAGAAGAAAGTGTTACAATAGGTGATGTGTTATTGTTGTTGCTTTATTTCAAACAAAATGAGTGTGACAGTAACCAACATAAAAGTGTTAGTAGTTGTAGTAATAGCAACGAAAATTATAACATTAAGTCGCCAACAAACAACATAAAGAATAAGATTATTCAGTTTCATAAGTCCATGGTTTTTCCATACATTTATACTTGCAATACACTTTTGTTATTGTTGTAACTTATAAAAAGAAAGGGTAAATTACCTTGATCTCCCCTGAGGTTTTTCTTAATTACTATTAGATAGTTTTGCAAAAATAATGACAGAAGAAAGCATTGTTTTAGAAAACCTAGTTGTTGTGGACAAAAGAAATCATTGTTTTTCTTCTACCGTAAGGGCTACTGAAGATGAGACACTTTACCACAAAAGGACCAGATGGTGATGGTATTTTGGTCCGTATAGTTGAGGCTTGACATTTTACTTTATTAGTTTAACTTGCGGAAGGGAAGATCATAGTTATGTCAAACAAACCTCAAGGGAGGTTGACCAAAAATTTTTCGTAAGTTTAATTCTAGAGTAATAAAGGCAATCCCTGGGGGAGGTTGTAGTAATTTACCCAAAAAAAAAAAAAAAATGGTTGTTGTGACTGGTTATTGATTTCGTCAAGTATGTTTACATCTGCAGGGGTAGACACTAATGAAACTATAAAGATGTATAGAAGTGGTGGAGCTGATCCCGATGGGAATCAACCAGGTGATCTTTATATTACTATCAAGGTAACTTGCATAACTTCTATCATTATTTGTTTGTTATTTATTCTTCTTTATTAATAGTTCGCATGTTAATTTTTCTTCTGCTTGAAATTTATGAACTAAACTTTAATCCAGGTCCGCGAAGACCCTGTTTTCAGAAGAGAAGGGCCTGATATTCATGTTAATGCAGTTCTAAGTGTCACTCAGGTAGTTATTTCTTTGATACCTTTACTGCACATGACGACTATTGCGATGCTTGATGCATGATATTTCAGTGTGTCATTGTTGACTTTTTTGTACCTTATCCAGACATATACGGTCATTGCAACTTGTTTAAACTTTTCTATCAATCCTAAAATTTATACCTTGAGGGATATATTAATTGTATTAGGCTTCTCGTTTTTCAAATTAGTCTGAGAGTTTAATCTAATACACTTGGTGTGAAGTCAGTTGTCCTTATGCAGTTTGTTTTTGTTTTTGTTTTTGTTTTTGTGTGTTTTCTGCTTCATCTTAAAAAGACAATAAAATGTGTAAATGTAAGTTATAAGGTATACTAGGAAGTGTCTAGTTCTATTTAATGTAACTGGTTTTGAGTAGAAATTGTCTTCATTTTATTGATCGAATCAAATTTACTCGCTTGCAGGCAGTTTTGGGAGGAACTATCCAGGTCCCCACTCTAACAGGAGAAGTTGTTCTAAAGGCATGGAATTCATTGCAAGCTTCTATGTTTCATTATCAATAGTTGTTGTAATTAGGTGTATTTAAGGTGTTGTTTGTCCACCCAAGCGATACAATTGAATTGCTTTCTGCTTTGCAGGTCCGTGCTGGTACACAACCTGGTCAGAAAGTGGTCTTGAAGAGAAAAGGTGAGAATGATGCTTAAAATATGCTCCCTCTCTCCCAAAAATAGTTGTCCTTTCTCTAATTTTGGTGTCCCATATTTCTTATTCAATTTGAAATGTCAAAGTATAAAGGTTGCATCTTTTCAAAAACATCCTTAAGTTTTGAAATTTTCTCAAATTGATATATAATTTTTTGAACTTTAAAGGGTAGTCTTGTAATTTTGTAAGGCTAAAGTTAAAATCCCCAAACGGGACAATCAAATTGGGATGGGTAATACTAGTTCCAATCGTATCCCCAAGCCATGCGCTTTCTAATCGATGATCAAGTTCTTCCCAAATTTTTTGAGTTGCATTTCTAGATTAATGTGTTATTTTCATTCACCCTTTCTGCGTCTTTGGCTGTGAAGCCGTAGGATGTGTAGGTAAATATTGGTGGAGGTCATAACCCTAATATTGATACAAATGTATACATCGGTGATAAAGTATTATTATACTATCTGATTAAAATAGTTCAGGTGTAGTTATTATTTTTACTCGCATACAATATTACAATAATGTATATTAGGTTTACATAATACTGAATTGTGGTTTCTTAAGCTTCTTTGCTATGTGGATTCAGTTAGGGAAGCGAAAAAACAGTACAATAATCTGAATGGAGCAAGGAATAAGGCACTCATTTTGTTGGAGCAAAACCTGGATGTAAACTGTCCAGCCCACCCCACCCCACCCCACTTTTAACAACCCAAATGTAACATTTTGGTTCGGGTGTTGGTTTTTCAGAACAGTTGTGAATTGTTGTAGCCAAGCATGTTTCTGGAGCTGTCAATGGTTACTCCTTATATCTTCCTATATATTGCTGACCTGTAAAGCGTGGATACTTTCTTAGGGATGTCGTGGCTTTATCCGATGCTTCAGGGCAGTGTCCTGGAGTGGTAGATTTATTTATTTTAAGTTGGACACCTAAGGGATGCGGCTAGGACACTTTTGGTACACAACAGGGTATTTTTTGCAATTATTTATTTTGAAGGACGGGGTGTTCAGTATGAAAATAACATAAAATTTAAAAAACAAAATGCACACCCAGTCATGTCTGGTTTTTCAAATTAGTAATTATGGTCATTGTTTGTGGATAAAATGAGTAAAAATTAATTTTTTGCATGTATAATTATATTATATTTTATTTTATTGCCGTATACCTGCTATGGCCGAGCTTTATATATTTTTTTATTGTTGTATCATTGTGTTTTTAACCTTTGTCCTGTAGTTATATCCATGCTTCATAGGTGCTTACAACCTAACTCTTGTATTTGATAGGTTTCAAGATTTTACCTTGCACATCAATCACTATTGTCTCAAAATGCATCAGTTTTTATCTTAGAGTAATTTCAAATTTTGATGTGTTTTCTTTTTATATTTCGAAGATTTTTGACAGAATGATTTGAGTCATGGTTTGCTAGTTATTTGTAAACTCGAGGAGGTACAAGTCAAACATATCTATTTAGTTCTGGTTTAGTACAATGATGGTGGTTCATTTGATATTCCTTCATGCTAATTAGGATGGCGTTTTCAAAAAAATAGGATGGGAAATGGAGGACTATTTGCTGGTGGGATCATGGACGCATTAAATCAATTAAGAGATTTGTTGGTTTTGGTTACCATGTTACATTTTAAATACCTCCTGCATTCCTAAAAAATATTCAGACATGGTCCATAGAATGAAATGAAATATTTCTTAGATGGTCAAAACAGTTTTGAGCATGTAATAGGCTTTTCAATTTAAGGAAGGACACAGGTTTCAGTTATCATTTGACATTTTATGGCGCACGTGTGAGTGAGAGAGAGAGAGAGAGTTGTATTACTAGTAATCACATTCATTTATATTAAAATATTATGAAGATTGTTAGCCAGGACATGGATAGTATAGGTGGACGTGTGCTGGGAATTGAATGTAAAGTGGTAAATGTGTCATGTGCACTGAAAGCTCAAGTGGATGAGGGCCACCTAGCTACAATCATTTAGAGTTGAGCTTTCATCGGTTGCTTCATCTATTACTCTAGATTGAGAGCTTTGATTCTATACATCCATCCTTTGAAGAGGATACATCTTGTACACAATTTTGGATACATTTGAGATTGTTGTAGAAGGGTAGGTGAACCCTTGAAGTCTAAGTGAGGTGATCACATAGCAAGGTGAGACAAGCTTTTTAAACTTTGTAAGGGTTTGCTCTTCCCGTGAAGGAGAGCTTGATAGGTCAAGTGCTCTCTCCTCCTCCCGTTGGGTCATTGCTATTAACAATCAAAAGTACGTAAGTTTACCTTCTGGGGACAAAAAAAGGTCTATATGTTTACTGACATGTCCATGCTATATTGAAGCTGATCTATGCTATAAGCTAATTTGGTTAGTTGTAGTTATTGTCTTTATCTAATTGCTTTCCTAGAAGCTAGGCAAGTAGATGTAGTGGGATGCATTCTACTTGCAGAATACTGTAAGGACTCTATTTTTATTGTATAAACTGTTAGTCCTCCGTTGTAAGTTTGAAAAGCATGCCTCTTTTGTATGGGTATTATGTGCTCTGACGTTCTATTATTTTCTTAATGGTGTTGTTTTACAGGGATTAAGACAAGGACCTCGTTCTCATTTGGGGATCAATATGTTCACTTCAATGTCAGCATCCCAACGTATGTTCTCTTGTTCCTTTTTTTCCCCACCTAAATAGGTTCTCTTGTTCCAATGTTCCATAGCCATTTTTATGTGTGTTCATGCCCCTCCGTTTCTTCTCCTTCTTCTTTGTCGTTCATTTCTCGCATCATGCTACTGCCCCTCTGGTGATGATGGAGCATACACGAACACACAACTGCACGAATACATTTTTGTATAAGTTGAAGGAGATTGAAATAAATAGCTCGACACTTCTATTAATGTCAATGATTAGATCATGCTTTCTTAGGGATATGCTTCTGTTAACTCTCTCTCTCTCTCTCTGAATTTTATTTGGGGGCAGGAATGTGACCCAGAGACAGCGTGAACTTATTGAGGAATTTGCCAAGGAAGAGCAAGGGGAATATGAGAAAGGTGCTGCAGCTGGTGCATCCGGGTAAGCAGGTTGTGTAAACTGCTTGCGTCTGATAGCCGTTACTTAGGTAGAGGTGAAAATTTTCCCTGTTCATTGGATTGGAGGTTTTGCCGAAGTAATTTCGGACTTTTTTTTATTTATCCTGTTTTGTAAGGTTTTGTATAATTTCCTACCTCAAAGTTATAGTCATATTTATTAAGATCATGATGCATTCAGTCTTCCCAGCTGATATTGTACATATCTTTTTTGAGATAGTTGGAGCCAGTAGGACATTTTGCATTTCAACGAATAAGCGGTTGAGCTTTAATCATGTGAGAACCCCATGCTTGAATTTTTTCTGGTACAAATATCTTGAATCTCCTCTGAGGCCAGGGGTAGCAATTAATGTCCAAACTCGTCGAAACTTGTCCACTAAAATTAAATCATTTGGGCATCCAAATTTAAATGAGTGGGTCAACATCCAAATTTAAATGAGTGGGTCAGTGATGGGTAAAAAGTGGCTATTCATACAAGATGGGTTAACCCGCTCAAATAAAAGAAAAAATTACAATGCTTAAATTATTCTTATTTTATGAACTGTTTTGGATGAAATCATTTCAAAACTCAAAATAACAAATACGCAAAGGTTTTTTTTTTCTTTCTTTTTTTACTCAGTGATTAAGTAAACTGGGGAAAGAAAAAAAAATATTTATAATAAGTTCTGAAAATTATTTCTTTCTGACAGATTTTACCGAAAGAAAAATAATCAGATCGTTTTGGCCTTCAAGTAGAAAGTAAGGGAAATAAATAAAAGAATCAAATAAAAACTGTGAGTTTTTGTTGTTTCTTTTTTATTTTTATTTTTTCCTTGGTGATTAAGTCTTCACCCTATCCACTTCATCCATCTTCTCTTTAAATTACTATCCATTCAAATGTATATATGTGTAGAGATCGTGTGTACAGATCCATCTCCATGTTTAATCTCTATTCTAAAATCCTACTAATATACTTTTATATATACATACATATATATAATGAGATCATTTTGATTAGTCAAAAATAAAGCAACGGAAATAAATAGAAGAATGAAATAAAAGCTGGAGTGTGGTTTCCTATTTGTGACTCAACCGGTAAACTTTGCTTATTTTGGGTTTTGAAATGATTTCATCCAAATATTTCATAAAATAAGAATAATTTTAACGCAAAAAAATTGTCCGGGCTAATATCAGAAGTTTGTCATCATAAAGATCCAATTAAAAAAAAAAACAAAACAAAACAAAACAAAACAAACAAACAAAAAGAGTTGAAACGGATTGACCCGTTTCTAACCCGCCCATTTGAGTCCTTACCCATTTATGACCCACTATTAGTGGGTTGAGAATGGATTATTGACCCATTCATACACAACCCCTTCACAACCCAACCAAAACCCGCCCAAACACACCCATTTGCCACCCCTAGCCTACCTGAGTGACTTTGCATTGACAATGCAAATACTACAAAAATGTGTTAAAATGCTCGATTTAATGCTGTTATAATGTTGCAATATGATATAATATGTTGCATATCTTCGATATAAATATGCTGCACAAATTTTTAAAAGTTTGCATGTTGTGATGTAGTTATGTTGCATTGTGATATAGTTGTGTTGCGGCTGTGCACTAGGTAATCAGGATTTATATTTTGTAAGCATAATTTTCATAGTTAAAAAGTATAGTACTAAGCAAATGGTTGGTAAACAACATTATAGGAACATTCTTAGTTGATGGTTTTCTAGGGTTTTTCTCTTTTTTACTGGGTTTTCTCTGGGTTTGATTTGTCAAAATCTTGAGTGGGTTATTAAAAACTGGTGAGTCAGAAGAATAGGTTTTGCTAATTTGATGATCAGTTTAGTTCATAAGCATGAATGTATTTCTTTTAGGTCTTAAAATGACCAGACATACATACGTTCTGTAATTATATTTGTCTACTTCCTATTTCTCATAGAATAATTTAAGAATCGAATTCAATTTTGATTTTTGTCGAATTCAATTTGTATAAGTGTGGTAGTGGGATGTCATGTGATGGGACCTATTACCTCTTTCATATAAATTAAATCTTGTAATTGTTGAATTCAGTCCTTAAATCACTATTTTTTTTCTCAATATAAATTTTAAATATCGAAAATATTTTTAATGACTGTATATGATCTTGGATTGCTAGTGTTATATTATTGTTTTTCGATTTTTTTTACTTAAATTTATATTTCATTATTTCATATATTATTTTTAATGTACTTTTGTTTCTCAGTACACCCCATCAAGTTTCTAATTTGATACTCAAGTTTTTTTTTTTTTTACTTAAATTTATATTTCATTATTTCATATATTATTTTGGGTTAATTTCACTGACACCCCCTCAAGTTTGACCAAATATCAGTTTGAAACATCTTTCAAAAATAACTATCACTTAGATCCAATTTTGCTTTTCCGTCATAGTCATCGTTAAAAACATGGGAAAATACAACTTTGCCCCAAATTTTTTCATCACATTTATTCTAAAATATCAAATAATTTAAATGACTATTATACCCCTAATTATTGACTAATTACACTTTCCGGACCCACGAATTAACAAAACACCTAAATAATTGGTAGATTTTCTTCCAAACAAGCACGCCTATAATCCGTTGCGAGTGTACCCTTGGTGACAAAGACGTCGGAGAAGTGACCGTTGTGGTCAAAGAGCTCCTCGACATCACCGGAGACGATAAACCCATGCAATTCGTGAGTTACTAGGTGAGAAAGCCGTCCAGAAAGCCCAAAGGTTAGCTAACCTTTTCCTATAAGTTCGGCGAGAAATTTGCTAGCGTCAGCGGAGAAGAAGTCTAATCAGCCCATCACAGCCTATCTCGTCGTTGCTCCCGCTGTGGGGACTAGTTCATTATACCCACAGGTGGCTGGCCAGCAAGTGGTGGACCGTACCCCGAATTGCTGCTGAGAAGGGTTTTGGAGAGACAGTTGGTGAGGTCGGGAGGGTGGTTTGGTGCTTAGCCACCACGATTCGGGTGTCGCCGCCGCTGTCTCCTGTGCCAACATCCTTGCCGGTGTAGGTGGTGGTGTTGTGCTCGTGTGTATAATATATATATATATGTGTGTGTGTGAACTTTGATCTAATTTCTCTGAGGCTATGTTTGGTACGGTGGGTTTGAAGGAGGAGGATAACATTAGTTATGAGGGAAGGGGAAGGGAAGGATAATTTTAACCCCCTATCATGTTTGGTTAGTTAATGAAGAAAAAGAAAGGGAAGGATAATAATCATGTTTGGAAAAGAAAAGAAATGAAAGGAAAGTAAATTATTTTAATAAATTGACTATTATACCTTTTTATATTTTGAAATATATATATATATTTCAAAATATAAAAAGGTATAATAGTCAATTTATTAAAATAATTCACTTTCTTTTCATTCCCGTTCTTTTCCAAACATGATTATTATCCTTCCCTTTCTTTTTCTTCATTAACTAACCAAACATGATAGGGGGTTAAAATTATCTTTCCCTTCCCTTTCCTTTCCCTCATAACTAATGTTATCATATACATATATATATTTCAATATCCTATACCTGGCCACAAGAAAAGAAAAAAAATAAAATTAGGGCAAATCATTTCAGCCTTCCCAATCTCGCCTCCATCTATATTATATATATATATATAGTCTCCAGATGGGACACAAGAAAAGGAAAAAATAATTTAGGGCAAATCATTTCAGCCTCCCCAATCTCGCCTCCATCTCTATTCTCGTTCTCAACTCTGAACTTGCCCTCTCCTCTTTCTCTCTCTGCACTACAAGAATCAGAAGTTCAAAACCCATATATTTCAGTTTATCTATCTATTTGCAAGAATTAGAAGTTCAAAAACCGTATCCATATATCATTTCAGATTGTTCAGAAAATCAAAACCCATATCTTTCAGTTTCCATCGCCGTTGTTCCAGTTCGGGTTCGCTGTTCGCAAGCTTCAATCACCGGCCCGCCGTCTCTCGCTCTCTCTGCAACTACTAACTTGTATGTATATTGTTTTGCAAACTTGTGCAATTTTGAGGGTAAAATTGGCATCACAACTCCTCCATCAGTCACTGCCTTCACTTTTTTTCCATTTTCTCCCATTTTTTTGAGGATATGAAAAATACTGTTGAAGCTTTGACATAACCTTCCAAACCCTTCCCTTTCCTTTTAACAATTTTTGCCAAACACAAATTTTTAATTCCCTTCCATCACCTTCCCTTCCCTTTCGACCCTTTTTCCATTGTACCAAACTGACCTTGAAGCAAAATTGACGCTGTTTCATAGAAGTTTTCCTTTTTTATCTAAATCCTATGAGTGAGAAAGCAATTGAAGGTGAAAAAATGGGACGTGATTTCCTCAATCAAGAATAACATATATAGATCATCTCTTATCTTGCCCAATATTCCACCAATGCCTAACCCAAGAATAAGACATAAGAGAATCAAGAGGAAGCAAGTCAAGGCACCTCTAGACAAGGTGTGTAGATACAGAGCATATAGGAGTATATATATGTGTGTGTATATATAATATAATTTGTAAATTTACAAAATTTTACGGCTTTTGAATTATTAAGGAAATAATTTAGTCAGTCAAACTAAAGTCAAAAGAAAATAAATATGTCATTTGAATAATTAAAGAAACAATTTAGTGGGTCAAACCAAAGTTAAAAGGTAAGAATGTCTTTTTACATGTAAAAAGTGGTTTGACACACCTGTCAATTAACTTTTGGGGTGCAAGTAAAAAACGGATTTGTAATGTGAATGATAGTTATTTTTGAAAGATATTTGTGGGTAATATTTGGCCAAACTTGAAGAAGGTATCAGTGAAATTATCCCTATTATTTTTAATGTACTTTTGTTTCTCAATACATTCCATCAAGTTTCTAATTTGATACTCAAGTTCTTTTTTTTTTTTATTTATTTTAATAGGTAAACATCAATAACACTATGTCATCCGCAAAACGCCTGGTAAAATATTGGGATGTCTTTTTTGCATGTCTTTCATTCTTAGTATAAATAACAAATCTACTTAAAATTTGAAAAACAAAATTCAATAAATGCTTGATATATCATAATTTCAAATACATGTTAACAGAATTCAAAGCATTATCATTATGTCTGTAAATTTGGGAGTTGGAAAATATTATTATAAAAACCGAAATTTGGTTATTTTCACGAAAAGGCAAGTTTTTTTGTTCTTTTCTTTTTGATAAACACATACAATAATTATTTTCAAAACATTATATATATATATATATATATATATATTGAAATTATTGGATGATTTATAATTTTTCATTTGTCTTCGTTATTTCTCAACACTTCAGAAATTTGGTTAGGAGGGGGAAAAAAAAATTTGAAGGAAAAAAGACTTTCTAAAATTTCCTAACTTCAAAAAAAAAAAAAAAAAAAAAAATGATAATTTTCTTAAAAAGTTTCATGCTAAACAGATAGAAATTTATTTTCCTTTTGGCTTCGTATGATTTTTTTTTAATCATTTTAGAGGTTTGGTTAACAGGTGTTTGGCTAATTTTAATTAAACAATCTCTATGAGATGTGATTAATTGGTGATGATTAAACGGTCAATTCTCCAATCAAGCATGTAAGAGAAGCAGGGATGCTGCTTTTCTGTTGGGTTCGAATGTCTCAATTAAGAGGAGTTTTGCGAAAAATAAAAATAAAAAATACAAAGAGGACTTTTGCAAAAAATAAAAAGAAAAAAAACACAATGTATTAAGAACATATGATATTCACCTTTATTTCAAAAAAAAAAAATACACATATGTACAATAAGTACAAGAATAGTTTTTTATTACAACTATGTAATCCTAATGCTACACTACTTGGTATATAGAAAGAGTTAAAAGAGAAAAAAAAGATTACATTATGAAATACACAACTCTCAATTTGAAAATCAATTTTTTTTTCAATTTCAAGTTTTCATATTTATCAATTCTCTTTTCACTCCCTTATCGCTACATGTCTTCCAAACTTACGCTGTTTGATACGATTATTCAGCTGTAAGTGATTTTTAAAAATTACCATCTGTGATAATCATAATGCGAGTAGTGATGTTTTGGTCAAACTCTTAGACTGAATTGTCTGACCTGCAACTTTTCATTATCATATTTACCAAATATAAGAAAGTAAAAAGTCCCACTTCCTTATCTTTTGCTTACATGACTAATCAAAACTTATAGGTCAGGCAATTCATTTCAAGTAATCGACCTAAAAATCAATTATGCAACAAATAAGGAAAATAATTCTTGTACCAAATAGTTGTCATGAATTGTTAGACCTACTTTTTTAATTAATCAATTATGTAACAAATAAGAAAGTGGAGTCCTCCACTTTGTTGTATTTGATACAAATAGCTAATTAATTTTTTTTCAGTTAGGCAATTCACTACAAGTGTTCCATGTGAGTATCACTACTCTTTTCCAAATGCATAATAAAAACTTTGTTTTCTTTTCCGCTAACCAAACAGACTCCGTGAAAATTTTAATTTCTTGAGAAAATTTGGTGAACTTAAGTTACATGCTATTCAAATCATAAATGGTAATTTTATATAATTTTTTTGCAAATTTTTCATTTTTCATTTTTCATTTGTCACTTCACTCTTACTTTACTTTCACTTTTACTTTCTTTTACTTTCACCTTCATTTTCATTTTCACCCTAAATTTTTTTTTCCAAAAAAACACAAATTTAAATTTTTTTTTTTTTTTTTAAAGTTTTATGAATTTACTGTACAATATTATTCTTTCTTTTATAATAAGTTTCAATCTTTCTTGCTATTCAAAATAATAATAAATTTTCATAAATTTTGTTGTAAAATTTTCATGCTAATGAATTTACTGTACAATATTATTTTTCTTTCACTTTCACTTTCACTTTCATTTCACTGTCTTTCGTCTAACCAAACAGAACTTATAGACTACTTCAACATAATAGACAGAAACCAGACGGAGTACAAACCAAAAGAGACAGAAAACAGCATGTTGACGTGGCAATAAACTAGTGGTGAATGAAGACCTCACAAGGATCGTAAAACCCCCGCGCCCCCTAGCTGATCTAAACCGTCCATAAAACTTGTTATCAACGGCTTCTAAACAATCTCGAAAGGTCACACACCACCAAAATTCAAAAATCCCCAAATTTCGAATCTCCCGCGCTTCCATTTCGCAACTCACCTCCTTATAAATTATCCATCAGAATCATCACCTCAATCGCCATCGACACTACTTTCCCTCTAAAATACACACGCTTTCTCTCTCTACACTCTAAGCTTCACATCAATGGCTCGTACCAAGCAGACAGCTCGCAAGTCCACCGGAGGCAAGGCTCCGAGGAAGCAACTCGCCACCAAGGCCGCCAGGAAGTCAGCTCCGGCCACCGGCGGAGTGAAGAAGCCCCACCGCTTCCGCCCTGGGACAGTGGCTCTCCGTGAGATCCGCAAGTACCAGAAGAGCACGGAGCTTCTGATCCGAAAGCTTCCGTTTCAGAGGCTGGTGCGTGAGATCGCACAGGACTTCAAGACCGATCTGAGGTTCCAGAGCAGCGCCGTCGCGGCCCTCCAGGAGGCGGCGGAGGCGTACCTGGTTGGTCTCTTTGAGGACACCAACCTCTGCGCAATTCATGCCAAGAGAGTCACCATCATGCCTAAGGATATTCAGTTGGCGCGAAGGATTCGTGGCGAGAGAGCTTAAACGAATCTCTCTGTTTATGGTTTTCTGCTTCTGTTCTCTCTACGCTCTGTTTGTTTTAGGGTTCTTAGGTACTTATGTTAGGGTTTGATTGTAGTGATGTAAATGCATGGTGGTTTGAGGTTAAGATTTGGTTAAATGTTGAATTTTGATTTTGAAATTATGAATGCTTCAAACCTTATTAAATGAAAATGCTAAATTTTCTTTTTTCTAATTTATCTACATTTTCAATTTGTTGAACTTTGGATTCCAATTCTGAATCTGTTATGTGTATTTGTGTATATATATTTAGTTCATGATTTATAACATATTCACCTGTAAATTGTCCATATATATAATCTCTACAGTATAGTCTAAGTGGCTTTTAGTCCTTATATTTAATCTATCTACCATATGCACTTTCTTGAAGAAGGAGATTTGGTGATTTGAAATTTGCAAGTCATTTGCGTTTTTAAATTAAAAAAAAAGTTATTATGAATTTAAAATTATTGAGTTGAGATGAATTCTCTAAATGCACGAAATCAGTAGAGGACCAAAGTGGTCCGTGTTTTTTAACACAACAAAAGTGACGTGTTGGGAAAATGGTAGCTTGTGTAACTCGGGTTGTAGAATATAAAAGCGTGACGTTTTGGCAAAGTATTTTCCTTGCGATGCCTAGCGTGATTCGTTTTCTAACTCTTAGAAGCACAAAATAATTGCAAAAAATTAGGCAATTTAACGAGTAAAAAAAAAAAAGGCAATTAATCCAATTGAAAAAGGATGATTTGTAGCATTTTTTATAAAAATGAGGAAGGAATAGAACAAAGTAGTGAGTAGGAATTATCAATTTTTTCTAAATATTTTTTACTTTTTGAAAGATGTTTCATATTACTCTATATTCATAAAGTAAAGACTAATGTTACCTTGAACACATGCTTCTCAAGCCACTCGATTGGCTAGGGCATCCATCCCGAAGGGTGTCCTAAAGCTCCTTTACCGAATTGTAATATTTCCAAAGATTTTGGTCTAAGTAGGCACTCACGGGAGTCCAAATCCTCACAAAAGGGGTGGGAGGGAGTCGGCTGAACATCTCAGCTATTGACGGGAATTTCACCCGCATTCGATCCCCAATTCTTTTCCGAATGTTGATTTTTTAACAGTTGTCAAGACAGACTATACTTAAGTCATCAAGGGTGAAGATGTATTGTATTAAATCCTCATTACTTTTGTGAACTCACAATAAATGAACATATCCTCTTTAATTATAAAATTAAAAAGTCAAACAATAATACTAATAATTAAAGATATATTCAATCATATCTGATTTACTAATTAAAGAAAATATATCCATTTATTATTGGTATATAATCTTGGGAAAAGATCTAAGTATTGTCATGTCAAGAATTATGTCTTTTTGCTCTGAAAATGTTACAAACTTATTAGAGAAACATATTTGTGTAAAAGATGATTGTTTGGGGATTCTAATAGAAAAAAAAAAAAAATTTGAAGATAATCATACTTACCTCCATGTAGATTGCCTAAATAATACCTGCATAGACATATTTTTTCTGTGATTTCAAATATAACATAGTCCTATACTATTTGGTTGATTTTGATCTGAAGTAGTTATATTCGTTGCACTTTTGTTATTTTATGTAAAATATTTAATTCTTTATTGACAATTTTTTTTGTAAAGCTTTCTAAGAGCATGCTTGAGTTTAATGTAAATATTATAAAAAAAAAAAAAAAAATCAACGTTATATTTAAAACTGAAATATATTTATATTATTTCGACAATTTTATCAAAATGTAATCATCTCAAATTTTTACACGTTATGTGATTTTAGATTACAAAAATCAATTATTATTATTTTTTAAACTTCTTATCACTAAATTAAATTATCATCTTTGATTGCCTAAAATAAAATGACTTTCTCCATTAAAATTAGAAAAGGAATCATTATATATAAATGGTGTTAATAACTCATATTTATTATTTAATGGAATCAAAGTCTCATAATTTTAAATAAATAAAATTGACCAAATTGCTGATGTGGACATGGAAAAGCAGTGTTTGACCTCACTGAGCTACCACTTTTAGACACATAGGTGCCAACTTTTGTGCATTTAGTAATACTTTTATTTTTGTGTATCAGGTATCACTATTTGTGTACAGAGGTACCACGTTTTATGCATGCAAATACCAATTTTTATCATTATATATCACTTTTTGTATTGCACAAAAGAGTGGTACATGATACAAAAAGAAGTGATACCCATATAAATAAAAGTGGTAACTCAACGAGTCATGGTAAACAATATTTTTCTATGTCTCCATTTTTTTTAAAACTATTAAACTGACTCCATTAAATATTAAATATGAATCATTAGCACTTATACGTAATAATCCTTAAAAATAATCGGTCAAACACGTATACCTTCTTTCCGTGTGTGAGTGACACTCTCGAAATCCAATCAACATCGTCATGCTAACATGCGCCGGCGATCCACCACATGAAATATTCTCCCGCCATCATCAACAAGCATTAAAACGTACAAAATTGCTATCCACCTTTTGCCACTTTTCATTTTCTCTCTCTAGAAACCCCACGAACTCGCTAATGGAGCTCCCGGTGGTAGATCTCGCTCAATATCTGGAGATCTCAGCTCAATTTAGCGGCGATGTGCCGAATTTGGATCCAGAGCTGAAAAGACTGTGCTGTGAGGTGAGTCGAACCCTAAGAGAAACCGGAGTTCTGGTGGTGAAGGATCCGAGATGTTCCGCACAAGACAACGATCGATTCATCGATATGATGGAAAACTACTTCGAAAGACCGGATCAGTTCAAGCGCCTCCAAGAGCGTCCTCACCTACATTACCAGGTCTCATCATTTACCACACACACACACACACACACACACAGATATATATTTGTATGTATATACATATTTCAATATATATTTTATATATGTATATGTTGTTTTTGTTTTGGGAGCAAGAAATTCTCTTTAATTTGGCTAATGGATTGCCATTAATTTAATAAGTGAATTTTAGTGGCTTTCGCAGTATCGCTTTCCTGCATTTTGTTTGCATCGAGACCGAACGTTAAAATGAAAATTGGAAATGATAGAGATTTTGAATTCTTTAATTATTGGAAGATTTAATTGAATTATTGTTCCTGCGAACATGGTTACATCTTGTGTTAATCTTCATTTTTTCGATTTTTAATTTCTACAGCTTGGATTCCTTTTAAAATCTTGATTGAAATTATTGTTGAATTTTTTAATTGCTATAGTAATAACTGATTGATGCTGGAAAAGTACTTGAATAGAATTTTTAATTGATTGAAAATAAATGGAAGAACTGAATTAGATAACAAAAACCACATACCTAAATTCTCCATTACTAATTCTCTTGGACCTCTTTGTCGCTGATTGGTATACTGCTTAGGCACTTCACACTCTTTTATTATGTTTGATAGAAGAAAGGCCCTGTGGAAACCGAAACCAACAAAAACCAACCTACAGAAAAACATTGTAGAGCAAGAGAGAGTCTAAAGCAATCCACTTCTCAAAGAGAGGTCAGGGGTTCGAGTCTTAGGAGACGTGTGTGTGAGTACCAACTAGGAAAAAAAAAAAAAAAAAAGCAATCCACTTCCCTTGTAGTGAATACAACTCATTTGATTGATTAGAACCATTAGATTGGCACATTTCTTATAAAAGTTGAGTATGGGACCAGTCTTCAGAGCCTTCCATTGATCAACTCAACTACATCTGCACAAGCTCATGCTTTTCCTTTTATGTAAAACAAGGTCTTCAATTGCATTTTGGAGCTTCAATTATATTATAAACATCACTTTTTTCTTTCAATTTGCATTCAAACTAGATGAAAAGTAAAATCTAGCGAAACATAAGGAAATGGGGATACTGGAGAGAATGAATAATACAGCAGGGATACTCTGTGTTGTCCTTTGGTTTATATTCCTAGATGGTCTAAGTTTGCATTCCTTAATGGAGGAGGGGTTATTCTAAAAGTTCTTCTGTAAATGAAATGACAGGTTGGGGTAACACCTGAAGGAGTTGAGGTCCCTCGTAGTTTGGTTGATGAGGAAATGCAAGAGAAGTTAAGAGCAATGCCTAAAGAGGTTCAACCATCCACTCCTGTCGGACCAGATCCAAAGTGGCGGTACATGTGGAGAGTTGGCCCTAGGCCATCAAACACCCGCTTTAAGGTTTCATTTCTTTCTCTTCTTTTTGAGTAGTACGACGATTTGGTCACTATCAAAGCATCCTTCTCGGCTTCTCGTGCAGGAACTAAATTCTGAGCTTGTAGTACCCGAAGGATTTCCTGAATGGCAAGAAACTATGAACTCATGGGGTTATAAAATGATATCTGCAATAGAGGTAAAGCATTAGTGTGGTCAGACATTTATCTTCTTCATTTTTTTTTTTGTAAATATACATCTAATAAAAGTAAGTGTTTTTCACCTCTTCTGAAAGATCAGGTATTCATATTACTTTTCTTCTCAGGTTGTTGCAGAAATGGCAGCAATTGGGTTTGGCTTGCCAAAGGATGCATTCACTTCTCTTATGAAGCAGGTGCTCACTATTTCTTGTCTCATCACTTTATCTTCTGTTTTTGACTCCAAGTCATTTCTTATGGTGCAACTCTGAAATCAGAAGCAATGAAGACAGATAAATATATGATGATTGTGAGTGGCATAAAAAGAATGCATTCAAGGTTTTAGTAATGCGAATTGCAAATGTAAATTTGTTCATTTTTCATCTATGTTCCATCCTTCCGTGCATGGAAACTTACATCTTATTATTCATTGTGGGATGTGTGGAACGAAGTTCCTGTTGGTAATCTAGCAGTATGGCACTGTAGTTCCACTAGTTTTTTATTTAATCACCCTTAAGGATATCTTATACTTTTTAACTTCATCCACTATTTAAGAAGTGCCTTCTCTCTTCAACCCCAGGGACCACATTTGCTTGCTCCAACAGGTAGTGACCTTCGACGTTATGGCCAGGAGGGCACTGTGTTTGCAGGATATCACTATGATCTTAACTTCCTAACAATTCATGGCAGAAGTAGATTCCCTGGTCTAAACATTTGGCTAAGAAATGGGCAAAAGGTTGAAGTGAAGGTTCCTATGGGATGTCTGCTCATTCAAACAGGAAAACAGGTATGGTTGTATGAGCACTTTAACCACTGGTGCCAATTTTCTTTATAATTTGAACTATTTAACTAAAGTGGTGATTCCTGTCAGAAACTGACTTGAAAAGTATGTAAGAAATGGTTATCGAAATCACACTTTGACCACTGGTGACAATTTTTCTTAATAATTTGAACTAGTTAACTAACTTTGGTGGTGGTTCCTGTCAGAAACTGACTTGAAAAGTATGTGAGAAATGGTTATCGAAATCACTCAAGTTATAAGCAATGTGCATGTCGCTATTCCAATTTAGAAATGATAGCGTATATTGGGAGTTTCCCAATCAGGCTATTATTTCAGTCACTAAATGATAGAATAATGGGTTTCGTGATTCCAACCGTCACAAAGATCAGATGAATTTAATTTTTGACATCTTATCAGTCTGTGTAATCTCTATATGATGTGTGAGTTATTTAATTATTCAAGTTCTCATATAGGCTATGTTACATGGACTCTTCAAAAGTAGTGAAGTACCCGTGTCAAATACATATTACTCGGACATGGGTATGGGATATATGCCCGACACTTTTGGTTGGACTTGTACTTAGAAAACATATCTAATCATTCAATTATATTATACTATTACTTCAAAATGAGATAAAAGCCTATATCGAACACTATATTAGATAAAAACATTAGTTTACTCTAAAAAATTAAATCAAATAATTAAATAAAATGAATATTTAGCAGTGTCAGTGTGTCCTGTTTAGAGATTTGACACGTCCGATGCATGGATAAATACCCGTACCCACGTAGCCGAGTTCATCTAACATAGCATATGGGGGTTCTTTAGCTTTCATAGATAATATATATATATATATATATTACAAATCTTTATCTTTCATACATAATTATCCTCATTGTTGATGTCATAGTGAGACACCTAAAATTAAAAATTGGTCAGCAGAAATTAAATAAACAATAGATGTCAACTTAATGTCTTCGTGGTATATTTTGGTGTCTGGACTTCTACAATTTTCTTCCTACTTCCCCACAAATGATGTTACATGGACTTCTAATCTGGTGAAATATTAATGTTGGACAAACATTACATGGGTAGGAGGATAGAGATATGTGTTTGATATGTCTGGATGGACATTTACTTAGCAAACATATCTTATCATTTAAATTGTGCACAAAATTATCTTATTATGTTCCTTATGTTACATAATTGATTTGAAATTACTGAAGTGTCTTCGCTGAACATTGTTACATAAGTACACCATTTTATGCTATCAATAAATAAAAATTATTATAAATTTGAATATTTAGCCATGGTTTTTCCTCCTGGTGAATAATATTCAGCCATCTTCTCATGTTGTTGGGTTTGAGTATTTGACAAGCCTGACACAGACACTCACCCAACAATGGTTCCAAGTTCATGATACATAACCCCAAAGTCTAGTTTCATCACTAAGTGGCTTGGTTTTGTTGCTAATGTTTACTGTTTCCCAGAGCTTATATTGGCTTGACTGTGATGTATGCATTTTGAATAATTATACATTTCACGTAGCATGAGAAGATGAGAATATATGTGTTTGATATGTCTGGATGGACATTTACTTAGCAAACATATCTTATCATTTAAATTGTGCACAAAATTATCTTATTATGTTCCTTATGTTACATAATTGATTTGAAATTACTGAAGTGTCTTCGCTGAACATTGTTACATAAGTACACCATTTTATGCTATCAATAAATAAAAATTATTATAAATTTGAATATTTAGCCATGGTTTTTCCTCCTGGTGAATAATATTCAGCCATCTTCTCATGTTGTTGGGTTTGAGTATGGACTTCTACAATTTTCTTCCTACTTCCCCACAAATGATGTTACATGGACTTCTAATCTGGTGAAATATTAATGTTGGACAAACATTACATGGGTAGGAGGATAGAGATATGTGTTTGATATGTCTGGATGGACATTTACTTAGCAAACATATCTTATCATTTAAATTGTGCACAAAATTATCTTATTATGTTCCTTATGTTACATAATTGATTTGAAATTCCTGAAGTGTCTTCGCTGAACATTGTTACATAAGTACACCATTTTATGCTATCAATAAATAAAAATTATTATAAATTTGAATATTTAGCCATGGTTTTTCCTCCTGGTGAATAATATTCAGCCATCTTCTCATGTTGTTGGGTTTGAGTATTTGACAAGCCTGACACAGACACTCACCCAACAATGGTTCCAAGTTCATGATACATAACCCCAAAGTCTAGTTTCATCACTAAGTGGCTTGGTTTTGTTGCTAATGTTTACTGTTTCCCAGAGCTTATATTGGCTTGACTGTGATGTATGCATTTTGAATAATTATACATTTCACAATTCTTCTATGAGCAGATTGAATGGTTGACAGCAGGAGACTGCATAGCAGGAATGCATGAAGTTATTGTGACTAGTAGGACAATCGATGCAGTTAAACTTGCATCGCAACAAAATCGCAGCCTCTGGAGAGTATCCTCAACAGTGAGTGAAGCCAAACATATAATCATCACTAACTCCCACTGTTTAACATGGTTTTAAAAGAGTTTATGCTTATTTGTGACTGTCTTTCTTCTGTTTTACGTAGTTGTTTTCACACATAGCATCTGATGCTGTGTTGAAGCCTTTAGGCCACTTTGCAGAGTCTCCACTAGCGAACAAGTATCCACCTATTTGTGCCGGAGAATATGTAGAACAAGAGCTTGCTGTGATTAATCTTAAAGGAAACAAAGGGGAGCCTTGATAACACATAAAACTGAGAAAGCATGTATTGCCCTCCTAATATTGCAAACTGCATTTCAAGATTGCTGCAATGAAATAATTCTAAAACAGGTCAGGATGATTGTTGTGCCATTGTTCATCCCACTGGTCATGAGGGATTGTGGAACTTCTAATTGACAGTTGTGTTTCTTATTCTTGATTATGATATTTAGTGGTTGTTCTATATCTAAATTTGTGGAGTTTATGACACCTTGCAACCTCTGTTATGCTATAAATGACATTGGTCGATAACTTGTTTTTGTTTCTAGTATGTGGCAGACACATTTACAGATCTGGTGCTCAACTTACATATGTTTTTAATGAAATTTTACATGGTTAAAGTAGAACCTGGTTGAAGCAGGGAGGTTTTTATTTTTATGTTTCTTTTGTGAGCTCATCCAATCTTCCATTTTGTTACTACACTTCACTGCATATTTGAAATGATAAATGAATGGTCATGACATTTGAGTTTATAAACTGCTCTGGCATCATGTGTATCGTGTTGTTTGCATCTATTCCCCGAGGCATATCAGCTCAACAGCAGAGTTGGCATGAAAACCACATGAAGAAGCATGATATAGGGTTAGTTCAGAAGCACACAACGGCATGAGCTTCATCTCATGTATATGTAAAACAGTACGAGACTGGTTCCTTGTAGCTAGAAGCAATCTGCAGCAGGACAGAGAGAATTGTAGTTCAAACATGAAGGTCTCTGGTGCCAAGGCATTGCCAATGTTGCTACTTATGGTGGTCATGGCAGGTCTGGTAGAGCAAGGCGAGGGCTCTACTTGTAGTAGCACTTTCTTCTCTGCACTTGTTCAGCTAATACCTTGTAGGCCAGCAATTGCTCCGTTTAGCCCCATCCCACCGAGTGAGGCTTGCTGCAATGCCGTTGTGATTCTGGGACAGCCTTGTCTGTGTGTCCTTGTCAATGGCCCTCCGATCACTGGCGTTGATCGGAACATGTTCATGCAGCTTCCTGAGAAGTGCGTTGCTAACTTCGAACCATGTAAATATCTCTTTCTATTTTGCACAGTTTCTGTTTTTCTGTACATTAGCGGATGTTCAATCTTTTCTCTGGTGCAGGTGGTATGAGAAAGCAACACATCGAGCCGAGGATATAACAAATTATGAAGAAATCTGTGCGTAGAGCAATGCGTCCTTTGATGCTGCTATTTACAAGTAGGAAAAGTTTGGAATATCTGTCATTCTGGTTGTTCGGGCTTTAGATCTTCTTCTTCCACTTTCTTTTTTCCTCTCTTTTTATGTAATCTCTTCAATCTCTGGTGCTAATATAGAGATTACCCAGTTTATAAACTAATATAGATTACCCAGTTTATAAACTTATATTGTATGTTGCGTAATGACACTCATCATGTTATGTCACCAAATAAAGGGCCTGAGTGTTCGAGTTTTCATAGGAGCAAGTGAGTTTGTAAATCTCTTGCCAAGAAAAAAAAAAAAAAAAAAAAATTTGACCCAAAAATGTTATAAAAGTTTGACAACTTGAAAGAGACACTTCTCAAGTTGAATTGACGACCAATTTATTTTATTTCTCAGACTGAAGGTACAAGACTACAAGATGATTCGCCCTTGAATTAAAATTTGATGAACGCACAATTTAAAAAGTGCATATAAAAAAAATATGAGAGATTTTAACCAGTTGTTCATCTCAAATGTTTAGGGCCATATTTCCGTAAAAACAAAGGTTAAAAATTTATAGAAACCAACGACGTGCTAAATAGCTAATATAGAAAAATATGAAGACAGGTTACCGTTATCGCATCCTAACCCTATAATGTCAAAACCCAGTGACATACATGCAACCTTATTTTGTTTACTGACCTCCATTTTTACACAGATACACTCAGTCGGGGAGCTAATCGCCCTACCAACTAGGCCACTGGGTCATTTTCATTGTTATGATTAATCTGCCTGTTGTGACACTGTATATAATTTGAGCTTCCAAGACCTGCTTTCAGTACAATTTGTAAAATAATTGTTTACATAGCCGCTGTTGTAAAAACATGTCTTAAAATGAAGCCAAATGGAAGAAACAGTAATCATCTAAAATACGACGTTTGAAATCATGAATTTGGTAACTTCAGCGAAACGTAAATGCAGTGGAACATAAAAGTGAAGTCTCCAATTCAGAAACATGCAGTGAAGGCTCCAACTATTTAAAATGAATCCCGCATGGAAAGGAGCCCGGATCCCCACAGCACCACACGTGTGCGCGCTGTGAGCCGTCCAAAGCAATACATCACAGGATCCCAACACCATGGGAAAACGTCGTTAATACACACCGGTCACACCAATGACGGGAAATATATGGTAGTCAAATAAAGAAAGTTCAACAAACACATCACCAGAGAGTACTGGTTTCTGACATGGTCTCTTCCTTTCATATGGAAATCCTGCCAAATCAATCACCAATAATAGGACCTAGCTAAGCAAGATCAACCTGGGAAATGCATTTCATACAACACAGTTCTCCAACACCAGTCTTCACTAAACTTCTGCTTGTGCATGTTTATAACATTCCCAGTCGAGCAACATTAAAAAAGTTTGCAGTTTGACATTGTTTTTATGGTGTAATCGAAAAGTGAAGTATCAGCAAGGGAATGTGGCTATGCTGGTCATCGCAAACGAAAAGTTGGAAAAGCAACTGATTTCATGTGAGATTTATGACCACGTCTTTGTAAGTTTGAACTAACAGAGTTTACACAGCCGATCAACAACAACCTCTTACAAAACGAGATGAAAGGTTGGTTACCTGATATAACAAAAGGCGTCACACAATTACCTCCCGAAAGAAACAATATATAATGTCAAGCATCCAGCGAAAAGAAAGATAACCAAAATAAATAAATAAATAAAGAAGCATTACCTCGGATTGCAAACAGAAATACTCCATTGGTCAAAGAACAGCCCTATGAAGACATGCAACAGCTGAACTTGCTCGGTGCTGAAACTGGTTCCTGCCCGGGGACAACAATATTGGTTCCCTTGAGAAGTGAAGAATTCCCTCCTTCAGCTTCCTCATTGGCTATGAGGGCCTTCTTGCTGATGATTCGATAAATCTCTGTCAGGATGGTAAGGAAAGATGTTTCAACATTGGTAGCCTCAAGGGCTGATGTTTCCATAAAGAAAAGGTTCTCCCTCTGGGCAAATTCTTTGGCATCTTCGGTGGGTACAGCACGAAGGGACCCTAGGTCAGACTTGTTCCCTACAAGCATGATAACAATATTCTTATCTGCGTGGCCCCGCAATTCCTCTAGCCACCTCGCTATATGATCGAAAGACTGGCGCTTGGTTATGTCATAAACCAGCATTGCCCCCACTGCCCCTCTGTAGTATGCACTTGTCACCGCTCGGTATCTGAGACAAAGTGTGCACAGAACAAATATCTCATAGCGGTCTTAGTGGCAGAAACAGCAAATAAGTATATAATCTTTATTCTCTCTCTATTTCACATTACATTTACTATATTTAAAAATCTAAAATTGATTTTATATTTTCTCTTGGTTTCTCTGATCATTGTTCTGATTTCAGAGTTTTAGAGCTTCACAAATCATAATAGAAAACTAATACGAGCTTTGGCCTTCTTTAATTTCTTTTTTCAAAATCAGAATGAATGACTGCAATTCTAGTAAGATCACCATGTGACTTGGCAAGTTAATCCAATGAAATTTTTATCAAAGTTTCGTACAATTTATCTAGTAAGATCGCCATACTGTTAAAGAAAAACTACAAAAAATATAGTGTTGAATAAATCAATTTAATTGCTTGATATGTTTAAAAAAAAAAACTAGAAGCAGCTTTAGACTTTTTTAAGTTCAAAACTCAGTTTAAATATCTAGATAGTAGGTCAAGGTATTAAAGTCACGCTACTTGTGAATTATTTTAATCTAAATGTTCATGCACACACATTAACTACTCCAGGGACATTAAGGTTGCACTCGGCTAAACTTAAAATGAAGTGATTTTGGATTCAAATTCATGAATGACTGCAAATCTAGTAAGACCACCATGTGACTTGGCAAGTTAATCCAATGAAATTTTTATCAAAGGTTCATACAATTTATCTAGTAAGATCACCATACTGTTAAACAAAAACTACAAAAACAATATATATATTGTTGAAATAAATCAATTTAATTGCTTGATATGTTAAAAAAGAAACTAGAAGCGGCTTTAGACTTTTTTAAGTTCAAAACTCAAAGTTTAAAAATCTAGATAGTAGGTCAAGGTATTAAACTGACACTACTTGTGAATCATTTTAATCTAAATGTTCATGCACACACATTAACTACTCCAGGGACATTAAGGTTGCACTTGGCTGGACTTAAAATGAAGGGATTTTGGATTTGAAGTCATGAATATATTGGAGGGTTTACTATTAGAGTTGGATTCAAATTGAAAATTTCTAGTTCATATGTTTTTGTTAAATAATAGTCCAACGTGTCTTTCTAGTCTACACCAAGGTTCTCAATCCACATCCTTGGACATTTACTTTGCAAAAGAGTTCCACTTTTGTCTTATTATTCACATATTTATGCAGCAATATTTATATCTGTACATGGCTACTGTCGTGTACCAAATTCTTGCAACTTATAGCCTTCTCCAGAAAAATGACCTTACTTTAATACATAACATTCTAGAGATGTTTGTTCCATGTTGCTCTAATCCTATGTGCACATGGTTCAATATATCCCTTCAATGGATATGGATAACCAAACCCTGACAAAAAGAGAAAAATGGAACAATTGCCCTTATGCATCATTTTGTCATCAATCTTAACTAACACGATGGAGCAGAATAAACTGCAAATAGATTCTATTCAAGGTATTGGATTGCACAAATCTCTTCTCTATTCTAGTCAGCGTAAGTTGTAAGCATTTAAATTATTACTTTTGCAGATCAAGTCATCAAAGCCTTACCCACAAAATCAAGCTATATGGTGTGCTAAAACCACCTAAAATCTATACAAAGATATGATAAGGAAAGCAACACCTCAATCGACTACTTACAGAGAGCATCAATCCAGGAAGACGAGAATAGAAGAGTCAGACAGGGCACACTTTCTAGGTGTTGAGCACCAGGAAGACAAAACACAGTTCACCATCAATTCGGGTCAACGATGACAAGATATTTAACGGAACTTCAAAATTATATTTTATAAGTGTTTCGACAACAATTTATGCCTACTAAAATTTTCATCAAATAACAAGCTCCAAGTAAAAAAAAAATGCACAATGTATATCGCATGATAGTCAGATTATAGCAAAGATTGAATTCATGAGCTTTAAACATGTGATGTAAATATGTACCAGAAACACAGGACTGAAGTTTTTAATGCAACCTTCTTCTTTTTCTTTTTTCTTTTTTCCTTCTTTTTTAAAAAATCCTATTTGAAACTCATATACCTACTTTGACCCTACAGAGACTTAACTCTCGACCATCTACTTTGGAAGATGAGAAAGTACGGTCAAGTACCACTAGACTACAGCCCTTGGTTGGTTACGCAATCTTTTTGATAAATATAATGTAACAATATGTCAAACAAAATCTAATGTAAGGCCCCTGCTCCTCCACCCATTACCCAAGAAAGGTTATATCTATGGTACACAAGCTCCCGCCAGAGATGAAGGGTTCAGATATAACCATGTGGCTGTATCTAACACTGCCATGTGGATTGGTGGGCTTAAATCAAGACCCAAGTTGTTGAATCGTGGCCAAACAGAATGGACAAATGGAGAATAACAAATGCAACAAGGACGGAGAGGGGATAATCAGCCACAGAAAGATGGTGCCTTTAGTCCAGCAGTTCGGGTTCATTCATGATCAGAAACAGTTGAATAGGATTCCATCTGGACAGCATGTAGCTTTAGAGAAAACTCAGAAAACCAATGTGGGTAATATGGCAAGCAGGGAGAAAAGGTTGTACGGGAGGGAACCTGGTTAAGCAGACGAAACCACAATGAAGTGGATAGTTATCAACCAAGTTAACTGAACAAGTAGGCATTGCCTACTTCTCTGCCACATATAATGCCTGCAGTTACCAAGTGCAGCATGTACAGAAAGCACTCAGGAAATCATTTGTCCGGTTGCTCCAGTTACATCCACGTTTTCTTCTTGCAGTTGTAAGCTAGCTCACCAGTGTGGTTTGCATGCTGTTTACCATTCAGTAACCTAATATGAGAGATTCTCGACAGGACTAACTCCAGCCAAATTCATCCTGACTTTGTGGCGTAGCAGTGAAAAAGAGGATTAGAAACCTATCAGTTGTTTTAGAACCGTAAAAGCTTTGCCTTTACAGCCTCCTGCCAGAGCTAATATATGGAATTGGTTGATGTGATGGGGGGCGTATGTTAAGGGGATTCTCTTAACATCATCAGACCCATTTTTTTGGCATGCTATGCTTAGACACAGATTGAATAATTAGCCGGTTTAAACCTTTGAGGTTCCGGTATACACATGCATTAGCCAAACAGGAAGGGCCTAATTTGGTATTTCTTCATTCTGACCATAGTAGAACTTTCAATTTCACAAGACACCTACCTTAATGAAGCTCAAAAAACTCCCAACCAGAAATCATACCATCCATTTTAACAACTAATAGGTCCTACCAATCTACATAACAACCATATTCCATTTGTTAACAGATCATCCTAGTGGAAGAAAAAAATAGTAATAGCAATAATAATAAAATAAAATATATTAAAAGTTCGAAGTGATGGAGAAGTATTCCATTTCCTGGATTATAAAATAGATTGCTTTTCCAGGATTTCACTGATCAATTAAACACACAAGTCAATCGCATAGTTCAATTTCACTTTTTAACTCAAAGCCACGATCATCCTTAGAACACAGGTCTCCAACAATATGTATATGCATATTTTAATCAAATTGAACTAAATTTTCGTTCATCACACAATCAAACACTAAAATAATCGCAAATCAAACTATTTAATTTCATAATCATAAAAAACAAATATATATAAAGAAGAAATAAAGCTCACCTTTCTTGTCCAGCAGTGTCCCAAATCTGAGCCTTTACAGTCTTGTGATCAATAACAAGAGTTTTCGTCTGAAACTCGACTCCGATTGTAGCCTTCGAATCCAAGCTGAACTCGTTCCTCGAGAAACGTGCCAAGAGTTGCGATTTCCCGACTGCAGAATCCCCGATCAATACGACCTTGAATACATAATCAATCTTCTGATTGAAGTCTCCATACAAATTCGACATTTCTCGCGGTTTTTCCAATCAAATCAGATCAAATCACACTTCTAAATCTCAAAATTCAAACAAAGAAATCCTCAAGCTAGAAGATCACGCCTCCAAATCTCAAAATTCAAACAAACAATTGGAGAGAAGGAAGTGAGAGGCGTGAAGATGTTCTATCAACTTCTACAGAGATGTATCTACATGTGCATGTATATCATATATATATATATATATATATATATATATATATATTTGTATTATATATATTATATGACGATGTGCATGAATATTTTGGTATAGTAGCTGTATGTATAGATCATATATGAAAATAATGTAGAAGAGAGAGAGAAGAAGAACCGCGTCAGAGAAATAACCAACGCGCCGTCAAGCGCATTTCTCAAATGTGAATTTTCTTCTATCTCTCAGCGTTTGGATACAGAGAAAATTGACTGGAAAGCAGCGTCAATACAGGTTTTGAATGCAATGTTGAATGTGTTTTGGGCTTTTTTATGAGGGCTGTTTGGCTATAAGATTTCAGATCAGTATGGTTTAACTTGCTTGTAAGTTTTAACCCAAACCCAATTCGGTTTTTGGACGGGTTTGAATACCAGTATTTTTTAGGTTTGGGTTGGACTTCAATTAAAAATTATTGATCGGATCACAATTTGATTTTTTTTTTTTTTTTTTTTAACCAAAGGGAACAGAAACTAACATAGAGCAGGAGAAATTACAATTTGAATTAAGCTTCGATAAAAAAGAGGAATAATTTGAGATTGAATTATATTATAGTTGTTATTATTCCTATTAAAGTTTTTTTTACTAACGATATTATGTTGATCATTGTTTTAATATTTAGGTTCGTTTGTTTGAATATAATTTTTTTTTTTTTTTTTTTTATATATATCTTGATTGTCAGTAAAATATTTATGAAGAAAATAAATATTAAAAATTAAAAAAAATAACCTACTCATCAATTTTTGACAAGTTATTTTACACGATCCCTCCGATAACCTCAACATCAAATTAGACCTGTGACAAATACAGAGAAAATAAAAATAAAAAATATATATTTTACCTAAAAAAAAATATTCGAAAAAAATATTTTATGTGGAAACTAACTAAGCCAGGCTTCAATTTGAATTAGGTAGAATATAGTCTCTTCTATTGTCCTACAATTTGACGTTGAAAATATTAGTGTCCCACTATCATTTGTAATGATTCGTCCAATTCGTATAAATATTGTTCGTTTTACATATTCTTTTTTCGGTACTCAAAATTTTGCTAAAAAGGTCTACACATATAAATAAAAGAACTTCTCTCTGAACTATGTAGGACATCTCAAACTCGGGTTACTAGTGAAGTACTAGATAATTAAAATGAAGATGGGTGTAATTTATTTATATTTTTCTTTTTCCACAAGCAAGGTCTATCATTATGAATCACCATATTCTCAAATGGTCAATAATGAATAAAGGAATGAATAAAGGAATGAAAACGAAGAAGGGTCTAGTACGATAAATTAATGGAATTTGGAATTTGGAACTTCAGGGAACATTTGGATTTGGATGGTTCTGTATTACGATTATCTCGCATGTTTCTTTGAATTGCCTGCTCTTATATATATATATATATATATATATATATATATAGTGGAATAATCAATGAATAAAAACTGCAGTTGTTGAGTTTCTGTTGTTTGTTTGATTGTGCCGCCAAAAGTGTCTGTTTTATTATTTTTTTTGAAGAGAATGCAATTGTTGCAGCCTTTATTTCATTGACAATTTTTTAAGGAAAGTGGATCCTCTAAGTTGATGGTTTACAGGGTCACGTCTCTCACTTCTTTTCATGTTTATATTGCCAAAAACCTACATACAGCATCATATATGTTTATATTGCTCTCTCAAGTCTCAACCATATTCACATCTTTTGCAGCATGAATTAATTGTGGCCTCTATAAACTTGCTAAATAATAGTAAGCAAGTTGAAGTGAGGCGTGCCATAATATACAAGCATTTTGGTACTGAGAAGTATTATTGACAAAATTAACAATAGACAAATATTGTTATTTGCAGACAATTACCGAGAGTGAGAAAGACATAACTTTGACTAAAATTACCAATGGACTATCGATACAAGGCTTGCAAGCAAACAAATTTAATTCACATTATCATAAATTCCAAGGTCAAGCCACCCCAGAAAAGATATTCAGTGCGTCTGGTATACCAAGCACCGGGCTAATCAGAGCCGTACATGATGTGCACAGGCCGGCATGTGTTGTGCATGTACGGTTCTTCTTAGCTCAGTGCACCAGGCGCACCGAATACCCTACTCGTCGGAATTCCCCCACCCTCACCTTCTATGAGCTGCACAACTATTACTGTATTACATGAAGAAAAAAAAATGCATGTTCCCTAATCGGGCGCACCGTCGAAATTCCCCTACTCTCACCTTCCCTTCTATGACCAGCACAACTATTACTGAATTACATGGAAAAAATGCATGTTGGCTAATTTATTATGATGAATAAATGCTCGTGTAGACGGTTGAAGAGACCAAAGTTGTTTTTAGTTTAAAAAGAAGTTTCAGCATTGATTCCAGGTTGAGAAAATGTGCTATACAATTGCTATAACTCAAGCTCCCGAAGTGTGCTATACAATTGTGATAACTCAAGCTCTCCGTAACGCCCAATGGGACCAAGATCCCAGTAGCGAGTTTCTAAACTCGGTCGTAGTCCCCTTCCACGGTTCAAATTTTCGAATAACCTTGTGGCTGTGATCAGCTCATGAGACATCTGACCTAGGTTCTATGGCACTCCAAGGGGAGGGGGGGATTCACATGAAGTTGGTTGGACCTCACAAGTCCCAACTAAACACAGCAAATTGCATACAACAAAACATAATTTGAGCACTTTTATAGAGTCAGAATTATCTGTTGAATAGTAACCTATTCCATCTAGTTCGTGATGTGAAAACAACAGCACCCTTCGGCTTCAGGCCCACGTACCGTTTTCTGGTGCATTGAAAAAGATGAGTTGGATTGCTTTCCTTTTCCTTCATATCATTGTGTGTACACGAGCAATTCAGGCAGTGGGATCTGATTTGTGTTTCTGTTTACTCGAACACGTGCACTTTGCCCTAGTATCCGCAAGTGTCTGTACCAAAAAGAGGAAATCCCATGAGGGAAGATAAAAGTAGGTTGGAATTTCATGTGAGTTTGATTTAAAGGCAAACTTTTTGGCATACCTTAACCTGTTTCTGAAGGTCTTTAATGTACTCAACTGCCAAATCTAACATATCTGCTGTATTTGTTTGCTGTCAATTGCAACAAAGAAAAACTTGAGTTCTAACTACTAACCACTTTTAGAAAAAGAAAAGGGGCAAAAAGCCCCGAGTTTGAAACTACCTTGTCCATGTTCGGAAAAAGATCCTGCAATTTCCTCATTCTTTCGCTAATTCGTGTTCTTCTCATCTAAAATTATAGACCCCAAAGGCGCATATCAGTATTATTGAGATCACATAAGAAACACCAAGAGCAATCAACTGCTTTGAATACAATAGCAAAACATTAAACACTTTACCCTCTCTGCAATGCTTCGTGGGTGTGTGGCGAAACCTCTTTTAGCTCGGATCTTACAAGGGACAGAATCTTGGTTAAATTGCAAAAATTTCTCTACCGCAGCCATCTCAGCAGAAGTTTTTGGCAAGCTCAAATGGTGAGTCAAACTAGGAGTGAAGTTTCTATGTTCACCATTCTGAAAACAAAATAAAATTAGCAATCGGAAAAAAGGATAAGCCAAATGAAGAAAAGTTACGAATGATCATAAAAAAAGCTACCTGAGTTTCCACAGAATTAAAACTAGAGAACATCTTCGCATTGCCATCTCGGCTTCTTTTTAGGCCAGAGAATGTAGAATCATTCCAAGAACTATTTGGAAAACCTGGGGCATAATGTCTATTGCTGTTGTCATTACCATTGCCCAAATGTCCGTTCTCAAAGCTACCTACCCCTGTGCATTCATTCCCATTTTCAGCAATCTGAGGCATGAACCTCAAGCAAGAAGACGGCCCCGATGAGAACTTCATGTGATCATTCAACCTGCTAGTTGATGGACTGACTTCGTTCTTTGTACCACTACCCACTCTGAAATTTCCATCTCTCATCACAGCAAATCCTAGGAATTATTAAACCGTTTTTTCAGTAATAAAATCTTTATTAAACACAATGATAATAATTCCCAAGAAATTGATACTATAATCGTTTTCAAATTAATCACCGGCTGGGAGCAGAATTGCTTGAAATATGTTGGGCATGCACAAAATCAAATCTCCTTTAATTCATTACTAAATAATGAGTTTCAGAACTGTTTAATGGTACAACTAGTACAATAATAAGTATGGTTTCTATGATCTTATAACTTCTCAGTCTTTCCATAATTAATTCCCTCCAAGAATTCCTTCTTCTTTTAGCTGATATATATATATATATATATATATATATATATATTCCCACTATGTTTTCCAATACATTTGTAATGATCAATTTCTTTTTCTTTGGCAATATGATCAAATTAAAGGAAAATAGACAGGAAAAAAAAAAAAAATTCTAAAAATGGGCTGCTTTTATTATGTATTTTCCTTTTCCTATTCCTAGACCATTTTTAGATCTAAACAAAGGCCAAACCTAAAAGTCAACTCTTTCTTCCTGAAAAAATGCAGCAAACAACCTTATATGGCTTTACCAATCTGTTTTGCTCTAAGAAACAAGTGTGTAAGAATATACAAATAAGAAAGCTAAATTCAAGTAAAAGCAAGAAATTTCCATACCATTTTCAATGCTCAGGTTGGAGAAAAGCCCGGCCGGAGAGCTGCTTTGTCTGATCAGATTCGAGCAATTTCCGCCACCAATCTTTGCTTCTGTAACATTATACGAGCTATCAACAGCAGTTTGAGTACTCAGTGAGCTATGATTTGCCAAATCCTGATCCAAAGGAGGTTGATAAATCATCTGCGAAGCACAAGTAGAGTATCCACTACTTTGTTGTTGTGGAACAGACTCCACCATTTCGTGCTTTATAGAATTGGGAAATTGCAAATCATGCGAATCAGAATCACCAGAACCAGTACCGGACATTAACCTCGCCAGCATCGTTTCGGATTCAGAACTCGAAGATTGAGGATTCAGAAATTCATCGCATCCGTCACCGCCGCCGCCTCCGCCGTCGACGAGGCTCGCAAAGAACGTGCTCGGAGCTGAACGGTACCGCATTAGGCCAGTGCTCTGATGTTGTTGTTGTTGTTGATGATGATAATACAGATCTGAATTCACAAACTCTCTGTTCTTCGAGAATTCCACATCTGAATTCTTTAAATTAGATGAAAACAATAGACTCACGTCTCCTGAAACCGCCTGTGAGCCGTTAACACCAAACATGCTCGAAACTCAACAATTCGCCTACTCTCTTCTGGTTTCTCACCTCTGAACAGATTAAATCAATTCTCTATAGCATATATACATATATATATACACACACAGAGAAAAGAACTCAAAATCTGCAGAAAGAGCTGAAAAAACCTAGATTTCAGAGACAACTACTCTTGCTTTGTGATTGAACTTGTTCAAGTGAATTGAACTAAACTCGAATCATCCTCGATTTTTGTTGCTCTACAAAAATCTCAGCCACAAAAGGACGACGAGCGAGTAATAATTGTATTATGACAAAAAAAAAAAAAAAAAAACAGATCTTTTGATCAACCACTGTAGCTCTCAGCTTCAGTGTCTGCGTCTAGATCAGTTTCTCTCTCTTCAAAAACCAGGCACCTGTTGTTACTGGTTAGAGAGAGAAAGCTTAGGGGGAGAGAAATTTTTTACTACTTCTGTCAATCCGAGAAATGGCATAAGCTAACGATCTGGTTGCTCTATCCGGTATATTTATGGACTTGGATTTTCGGAGTTACCCTCACTATTCACTGAATATTACAGAAATGCCAACATGACGTGAGCATGTATTCATCATGTCCGTGACAGCTAGTCTAAATCTAGTTGACGAAATTACCCCAAACTGAGAAGAAAATTACTGAGATTTGGTTAATTAATAATAATTTAATCACAAAGTTGATTTTTTTATTTGTTTTCATGAATTATTTAAAGCTTAGACGGATAGGAAGCTTTGCTTAGGAGTCAAATGGACTCTAATTAAACGCGGAGAGTTAGCGTAACGTGGCGAATGGGTTTACTTTGATTAGTATGATTAAGAAAAAATTATTAGTCTCGTCAAAATTCACTAATTAAAAAGTAAATAAACTCTAAAAGTTACTTTTTGACCTTTCAAAATAGAAATGGTTTAAGCAAGTAAAATGAATAGTGTGAATTTTGATATATAAATAAATAAAATAAAATAAAATATAAATAAGATTCTAATAAGAGATTATAAGAAAAAATAAACATAAGTTTTAATTGGACCCTTACTTGTTTTATGGTCTTGAATCATGTAATGATTTTTTGAGAAAAAATGTGTTCCATGGACACTTATTTATGGTAAAAAAAAATAATAAATAAAATAAAATAAAAATTAGTGTTAAAGATCTGAAAGAGATTTTAATATTTAACAAAGATCGATGCCAAACTTTTTTTTGATATTATTTTTGTTTGAAATGATTACGCTCTCATTCTTCGTCTTCTTCTTTTTATTTATATATATATATATATATTGGATTAAGCCTCTAACAAAATAAATAGGCGTATATGATATCCCTCAAATTTTAATTTAGAAAGAGGAGTATATATCACTTGAATTGAAGTATACTTCCTATATTTTTCGCTAAAGACTTAAACTCTCAAACTTTTAATTTAGATCGAAGTAAATTCTTATTGTCTATTTAGATAATTTGAATTTTTATCATTTATTAAATCTTAAAAAGCAATTAACATCAATTTCGAAGGGTTTTATTGACAGTATGAGATGTTTGTAAAAAAGAAGAAATTTTTGCCTTACAAATATACAATTACAGTTGACTTTTTTGGGTCCAATGCTAATGAATTTTTGTTAAAAGAAAGAGAAAAAAGAAAAGGGTCAATTCCCTATCAAAATTTGAAACTTTGACATTTTCTCATATTTTTGTGTTTTTTCAAAGACATTAATTCTTGTAATAAGTCAAACAGCTTAAGTCAATAAATTTAATCCAACCTAAAATTTTAAGCTAAAAACAACCATTCAATTAAGAATGAAGAAGGAAAAAATAATATATAATAAATAATAGGATAAATTGCACTCACATTTCCTAATTTTCGGTTACTGTCAATCAGCTATCGGTTAACGCACTTGTTTACATTGATACTTCCTGAAATTTCAAAAGTCATTTTTACCCTTAATTATTTAATTAAGTTAATTCACAACCTATCAAACATGTTAATTGACAAAAATAACCCTCACTCACCTGAATAAATAAATATAAATAAAAGAAGAAGAAGATGGGGTGTGTTTGTTTATGAATGTTGCGTGGTTACATGTTGGTGGTGAGGATAAATATAGATAATGAAAAATGAAAGTTATTTTGGTCCTTCAATATTTAGTTTATAGGTTATATTGGTAATTTATACTTTTTATGTATTTGTTGACCAAGTTTAAATGGTCATTTTTTCCAGTGTAAGAGGAGTGTGTATATAAACTTTTGAAAATTTAGAGGTGTCAATGCAAATAAGTGCATTGATTGAAAGTGCAATTTATCTTAAATAATATTATCATTTTAAAATAATAATAATAATAAAAGAAATGACTTCAAACCTAGTGTGGTCTTTTCCTCGATGCTTGGGCCAAAAATAATCCATAACCATGGAAAGGCTCGAGACTAATGACAGGTGGGCCCATAAAAAGTCCACTGTCAATAATGGCGCTAATTTTTGGGTTGCCAACTAATTCAACACTTATAATAAATGCCACGTTAACAACGCAATGTTAGCTAAGTACATGTGACTTTTATTAATGTAATAGCCTCTTATCTTTACAAACATACACACACATGCGTGAATAATTGACGTTTCATTTAATTTCTTTTGAATTTTTTGACTTCAAAGATAAAGTCAACCCTCATCTTTGAAAAAAATCATTGTACAGTAACCTTTGACCCCTTTACATACTCTTGTGTGAAATTGTAATTCAACATTATAAATTAATTACACAAACACTCTAAAATGAGCTAAATTCTGTTTGGTAACACCGAATCTTTCAAATATGACATAAATGATTTCATTCTAAATCATAACTCAACAAGTAGTTAGAAAGATATGGTTACACAATTATATATTAGGTACAAAATTACACTAGTAAAATATTATAAAATATTTCTTCATTTTTTTGGTAATTGACCGATATACATGAAATGAAAAATGGTATTCAGTGATAAATTATGAATATTTTAACAAGTCGGACACCACTATTATTGACAATATATATATATGTGTGTGTGTGTGTGACAATAAAGATAATTTGAAAATGTTTTAGGTTTAGTTAAGACATTCAAGTTAGCATTGTGCCACTCATGTTTGGTTGACACTAATTAGCCAACTTATAAAGCTGTCACCAAAATAATACACAATTTTGTGTGCTATTTTTCCTTTTCAATGGAGATGAAATATGAAAGTCTAAACACTAGAAAATTGGATTTCTATTACTTTGTTTTTATATACAAAATTTCTAAGAACACGTACTAAAACAAAATTTGAAATGTCATCTATTTATTTATTATCTTAAAAAAATAAAAAAATAAAAAAACAATTTCATTTTTACAACATGCACCCAACTGAGGACTCAATAGAATGAGCTCAACTTAAGAAAATTTTTTTTTTTTCTTTCCAAAAATTAAATTAATATAAATTTTTGCTTACCCATTTTTCGTCAATTTAGGTGTTTATGATTTTCTCCTACAATAACATACATATTCATTCAAATTAGAAGTGTAATTCGAAAGTTTAACTTTAAAGACTTACCTTCTAAATTTCTATTCAACCGCCATGCCCTTGAGGGCAGGTTGTTCATGGTCTTGAGGAACAAATTTCTTCTAACTTCATTTGAGGGTCAATGAGATTGAATATAAGACTTGGTACTTAGTTCTATGACCACACAACTCACCGACATAAAAATAAATTTCAACCAAGATTTTGACATTTTTGTCCACGATCAAAGAGACAAGGCAATGAAAATCATATATTGAAATATCAGAGGGACATATTTACTGCAATGAGATTCAACTTTATTGTACGCATTATTACTTGTGAGAGGGATCAAAATCTTCTTCAGTGCAATTCTTGGCGCAAGAAATCTTCATATTTGTAATTTTATTCGTGTGTTATGTTGTGGTTGGTCAGGATATATAATACTGAATCATGTAATAATTTCTCTTTTCTTACGACATCCAAATTGTACAGGTTGAATGACTCAAAACTTGCAACATCACCTATTTATTACCTATCACAAAAGCGTTAAGCAACACCTTAAAATTAAGAATAAATGTGATACAATTTGCATTGTGAAGTACCGCAAAAGGAGTGTACCGATTAAAATTTTAATCCTATGTAAACGGTCATACTGATTTTAAAAATAACAATTTACACACAAGGATAAAAAGACCAAATTCTCTTATATTGAAGTAGATCAATAATTGCTTAGAATATAGACTTTGAATTAAAGAATAGGATACTAAAAAGATTTAATTATTCTCCTTATCCCATAAGCACTTTACCTATTTAGATAACCATTGTTTCAAGCCTCAAGTTTGGTCTCAAATATCACCATGATTTAGATTGTATATAAAGCTCAATGAATCCATTTTATTTTATTTTTTCTTATTTTTTTATTTTATTTTTTCTTATTTTTTTGGGCTTTTGAGCAGATAGCATATTATAAAGTAGCATCAACTACCATTGGATTTTTTTGGATGAAAGTTGGGTGGATAGGTCCACTGCCATGGCATATTCCAATCATTAATTGAGATAAGTAGACACTATAAGTAGATATAGTCTTGTTTATTGTCATACAATTTATAAATTAATTTGAAGTGTGTTAGGATTAATTTTAGATGGGCAACTTTAAACTTTTAAAGGAGTTCTTAATATGGTATTAGAAGAGGACCATGGGGAGTGGTCCATAAAGGGAAAACCTAAGCACCATGAGAAAGCATATTAATAATATGAACTTTTTGTCCTTCTTTTGATAAGTAAATATTTTGAGTTATACCATTTCTACTTGATTATTATTATTATTATTATTTTTAGTATATGTATATAAATTTCTAACATTCGAAAACTAATGCATATTGTCCCTTGTTATTTGTGGATCGTCAATTTTGACCAATCATTTTTATTAAAATCCCAAAATACCTTTAATATACGTGTAGAACTGAAATTGAATTTTGTCTTAAAGGTATTTTAGATATTTCGGTCTTCAAAATGACAAAATGTCCTTATTTGTTCAATTTGAAAAGTGTAATGTTTTTTTTTTTTTTTTTTTTTTTTTTTTTTTTTTTTCAGTGAGCATCAAAACTTATTTATTAGCACTTCTCATTCATTTGGTGGAAAGAATTTACTCTATTGTTTCGTTCGGTAGGAAAGAAAAAAATTAAAAGGAAATGAGAAAAGAATGGATAAACTAGACATCCCTAGAAAATAATTTATTCTTTTTGTTTGATTGGATGGAAGAGAAGATAATAAGTTCACAATTTATTATATTGGTTATGGGAGAAAAAAAAAATAAAGTTTTAAATTATTTTTACCATTATGTCCAATAATATCTATACTGTAATTTAAAATTTGTATAATTTAGGATAACATTTAATTTAAAACTTATATAATAGTCCACTTTCTTCTGCCAATGTTTGAAAGAATAAAAATTTATAAAGAATAAAAAATAAAATATCTTTTCTATTATTTTTTTTTTCTTATATCATCTTTATCAAGAAGTTTATTCATTCTTTTTTATTTTCTTTTCATATATCTTCGTTCCTTCGTACAGAACAAAGCATATGAATAAAGTTACTTTTTTCCAAAAAATAGAGTATCGAAAAAGAAAGAGAAACAAGACTCTTCCCTGAATGCATTCACATAGGCCAAAATAGATTTTATTAAAACTTAGAACCTTGTTTGGTTTTGGAATTTGGTACTCTCTGATTGGAGAGAACATCATTGTCGTTATCCAATAATGTGTTGATGTTGATAGTGTAGTTATCAACAAAGTTTGTGTACTGTGAAGCCAAAGATGAGATAGGAAGCAAGTTATATCTTTGATTCCTTATACAATGAATGTATAGAAACAATAGTACACTTTGTCTCGACTGAATAAACAAAGAAACACAAAGAGAGTTGATTTTTTGATGTGAAATGGCTATATGTTGAGTTGTCTCCTTGTGTGACCCCATTCACATTATCACATTTGTACAAAGTGTACTATTGTTTGCTACATTCATCCCCCAAATTCAACATATATTTTTTATTTTTTTAATAATTTATTTTTTATACGATTTGATCTTTTGTGGGTAATTAATGATTTTGTAATTTAATAATTACTAGATTTACAAACTTGTACTTTATTGTTAAGAAAAAAAATTTAAAATAATGATAATAACAATAATAATAACAATAATAATAATGCTCCCTTGAATGTTATTTTTTGAGCTTGAAGCTCTCAACCAATCGTACACATGTGCATTTGTGTGGTATAGAAGCTCGTCAAACTCATGAGTTGCATATATAACCAGTAAACCAGTCTCTTTCTTAATTTACTTGTTATATAATATCATTTCTTGTTTTAATTTCTAACTCTTCAATTTCAATTCAGAGTCAATTAGTTTAGGACAAACCAGAACCTAGATCCTCTCTCATGTGACATAGGATGTCCTATGTTATTTTGTGTCACCACAATAATTTTATATGGGTCATTTCTTATGCGGTACAATTTATTACATGAACATTTTGAGAGAACTTAGATCCTCTTCCGTGACAAATAAGAACCTAGATCCTCTCTCGTGACAAAACAGAACTTGGACCTGTATTATGTGACACTACAATAACTTTACATCGGTTACGCAACAAATTCAAATCGTTTATATAATAATTTACGTACTTTAAATCACATACAAATAACTTTACATCGTATATTGTGTAACTGATATACGGAGTATAATGTTACTTAAACGATATATTATGTTGTGTAGGAGACAACTAATAACTGCTTCTGATTCCAACTTTTCAATTTCAATTTTAAATTGTAAGGTCGATAAGTTTAGAACATAACAAAATCTATATCTTTTCTTGTGACACATAATATCATGTGTTGTATGTCATTGTAATAATTTTACATCAGTTACAGAATAACTCTACATCACATGTTATCTAATTAATAAATCATGTTACTTAGATGTATTATGTTGCGTAATAAGCAACTATTTTTTATCTTCCAATTTGCTTGTAAAGTCAAGTAGTGAAAGCTTGAAGCATGAGAAAAACAAGACAAAGTTTTGATGTGAAAAAAAACACCAACAAAAAGAAATAGTTGTTGGTGTGGAGGGAAACAAGCACACGTGAAGATGCATCTTTACTTGTTTTCCACAATACTAAATGAGTATTATTAGCTTTAAGCAAACCTTAATAGTCTTTTCTTGAACAAGGCCAAACTTTGGCTTTTGTGTGCCACTATAAGTTCTTTTACCATTTTGCCCTTTCCTTTAGATCAGATCTTTTCTGCTTTTCAGGATTTCAATTAGGATATGGGAATAGGTTTGGTGGTATCTCTTGTGCCTCACATTCACAAGTGATAAGGATTCTCCCTCTTGGTGGGATTCCATGCCTCTCTTTTGCTGTCATAATTGAAAAATAGAACATATGTGTGTGTGTGTGTGTGTGTGTAATCATATACCAACAAGAATATGCCCACATTTGTTCAAACCCAGTCACCCTCTTGGTCATAAATTGCAAAAGTTTATATGGACTTTTTGAAGCGTGGCCAATGGTTGGCATGATTCTGGTCCATTTTCAATGAGTCCGATTCGACTCTCGTAGGTGTTCTTGATAAAATCAAATAAAAAAAACAACGATTAAACGATCAATATTTAATAGTTTGGTTCTTGATAATTTTTATTAAATTTTATTGTTGAGGGTTCCCATTTTACGTTTTTCAGTGTTTTGCGTAGTCTTATATGAACTACACAAAAGACAAAATTGCAAGGATGATAATTTATTATTTGACCGGCAAAAACTTCTTCTGAATATGGTACGGAGTATAATTTTTCAGTATAATTTTGATGAGTTCGGTTTCACCCGCTTGTACATAAGCTGTTTTTCAACCAAATTTTAATATTCCGTCCTCTGTTTTATCATTTTTCAATCTTATAAGAAAACAGTATAATTTTTCGAATTTTTGTCCAGATTGAAAAAGACTTGAATTGAGCAAATTTAAGCGTTTTAGAATTTATGTTTCATCATAAATAATAATTGTATTATTTAACAGTGTTATTATTCGTAAATAACAGAATAGATTCCTAACTTTGTGAATTCAAAATTTTTACTTTTTAAATTTCCTACCTTAAACCAAAAGGTGCAGGTATTCAGCCTATTCTGGTGTTTCAATAAGTTGAAGTTTGGACCACTTACTGTCTGGTTTTTGGGTTGGTACACCAATTCATTTATTTCGCTTGAAATTTTGTTAAAGGTATCTTTGATTCTTCGCCAAGTTCATCATCGCATGGAAAAGGTTAAGATTGTTTCGCAAGAAAAACAACTCTAATATTTACATTTTTAGCAAATAACGTCCCAAATTCTTTAATTTTGGTATACAAGCCGGTTAAATTTGAAAAAATGTGGCAAAGTGTCTACCATTTGTCAAAAAATTTCCTTAAAAAGGTGTGCATTGCACATGACTATTTTAAGTTTTAAAATTCCTAAAACACTCTTTTTCTATCCCCGAAATGCCCCTTAGAGAAAATATGATACTCTCACACTCAATATGATCCTCACAAGTTTTTGCTTAGGCATTTTAGTCATTTTACATTTAGTTAATTTTTCAATTTTTTTTTTTTTTTTTTTTTAATTCAGTTACATAAGGACACTTTAATCTTTTACTTGCCCTTATTCGCAACACTCATAAGATAAGGGTGTTTAATGCCCTAACTCAAAAGATTATTAAGGACGTGTTTGATTCAATTTTCTAAGAACAATAATTGCCTGTTCACCGGTGAGTTGAAAATTCTTACTTACCATCGATGTCGCACAAAAATGAGATGACCAAGTGTACTATCAATTAAAATAAATAAAAAATAAAAATCTGAAATGCATTCGGATTAAATCCAAATTGAATCCCTAATTCCTTCCCCTCTCTCTTTCACTATTCTAGCCAAAGACAAATGAACAGCCTCCAATCCCCTCTCAGAAATGCTACCCTAGCCGAAGGCAGCGAACAAACACATCCTTAATAATCTTTTGTTTGGCATTAGGCTTTCCACCATCAGTCCTCCACTATCGACACCCAATTTCCTGTCGCTACTCGTTTTCAGTTCTCTTTTGTTTGGCATCTGAGAAAGTTTCTGGAAAATTAGAAAAGAATCAATTTCTAAATCTGATTTTTTTTTTTTTTTTTTTTCCCATAGTAATCGCTTCCACTAATATTAGGCTTGTTTGGTTTATATTTTCCTACGTCTCAATACAATGTAAAACATTTAAAATTTCAAAAAAAATCCCACCTTTTCTCAGGAAACGAATATAGCTAAAGTTTGAATACTTAGAACTTGATATCTCATAACTTGTTCTTTTAAGGTTGAACCTTAAGCTTTTTAAAGTATTAGCCTATGAAAATAACACATCAGACGATAGGAAAATGGGGGGCAGAGCCACAAAAAAAAAAAAAAAAGGTAATTATACAAGTAATCACAATGCATCTCATTCTTCTGTTCATAAAGATCTGGAAGATGGTGAAGAGTTTGGATAAAATTCAAACTATTAGGATCCATCTTCTCAACCAACAGAATTTGCAGGTTGTCCGTTGTCTTCTACTAGAGTAGCGAGGGAGATTGCAGTCTTTAGTTGTCTTTGGCTAGAGCAGCGCGGGAGAGACGGGGCAGATAATTAGGAAGTTAATTGGATTCGGTTTGCTATTTGGTTTACTTTGAATGCATTTCAGATTTTTATTTTTTATTTATTTTAAATAACAGTACACTTGTCATCTCATTTTTGCGCCACGTTAATGGTAGGTAAAAATTTCCTACACCGGTGAGTAGGCAAGTATTGCCCATTTATAATAAAAGTCTTTTGTTAATTCAATTTTCTAATAACAATTTTTTTGTGAATAAAACTATTTTTTGAAAATTAAGTTAGAATAAGAAATAAACTCAAATAGCTGTCATGTCAGTCTCCCCGAAAGTGTTTGAAGGATAAATGAACCAAATAGACTTCTTTATACACCTTCAGTTCTGGTAAAATAAGTGAAATAATTCTCGAGAAGACGGTGAACTATGAAATACTCCAAGAGACCTGGCTATAAAATATTCTCAAATAAAACCGGACTGTGAAATGTTCTAAGAGACCCAACACAACCGTCATAGGCCAAAATAAATAAAAATGAAATGAAAAGAGTCAACTCTGCCAACGAACCCTTAGTAACACAAGCCAAAGCCGTTCGACACCTAATGGATATCACAAAGTGGAAAACACAACGTTTATAACCATATATAAATGTTCCTTTGATTTTCACAAATATAACACCAGCAATATTTGCTTTGTGAAAGTACAATATGGGAAGGAAGAGGAAATTTTTGCGTGCTTTCAAGAAATGATAATAAAGAAATAAAAGATGTTTAATGCACAACACAAAGCAGGCCAAACTTTATCATAATCCCAAACGCAACCTACAATGCTACAACCATTTGACACGGTCACTCTAACAATGCCACGCTACCAAAATGAAATAGTATGGCAATAAGTACTGAATTCCATAGCAAGAAAACTCTAAACCAGTTTCGTTCCCTCCAACAGAGGAAGCGTTCTTCAAGTTATTCTTCCGAGGCAATCTTAACTAGTAATGGCATATGCATTAGAAATTCCCTCAGTAGTATGCCTTTCGAGGATTGTTCTGCAAAGAGAAGGACAATGTGACAAATATTAAAATAGATATTCATCGCCACACTTCTGAATGAAACACGCCCGAATGAAAAATGAAATGAATAATTAAAAAGAGAGAGAGAAGTCAAAAAAAGATATGTCATACCAGAGGATTTGGTCTATAACGGTAACCAAGCATCATACGCTTCTTATACTGTTCATATATATCATCATCTGGAGTCACTTCTCCAGGCTGTTGAGCGCCAACTCCCAAGTTGTCCTTTTTTACATTGCCCGCCATAATTGGATCTGCAATACCCCTTCTGGAGCTCCCAAGACCCTCACCTGCAATCCACCACACCAAGGTAAAGGATGACTTCTCCCACTCACAGAAAACACCCAGTGTTTTATAGGTTACATAATTATATTGCTTTGAAAACTCAGAAAGTTTTCTAGTTTTAGACGTGTTATTTCTGCATAATATTAAGGGGGACAAATGTCGCCAAGAAAATTATAGATAATTCAGGAAGGAGCACCTTCTTTCCAACCCATTTTTGACAGAAGTTTGTGCCCAACATTGTCGGCCTGGATTTTTGCCTTCTCTGCAGCTTCTTTGGCAGCTTTCTGTGCAGCTGCATCATTGCAACTAGCCAAGAACTTTTCTAGCTCTTCTTGCGGGATATAATCACCCATGTGATGACCTTTTTTCAGAGAGGCTGCTATAATGCCAAAGATTAATAATACATAATGCATACACTGCAACATCAAATGAACATCAAAAGAAATATTCAAGAGATATTCTTCGCCTGCATAAAGGCTCGAACACAACAATGTTACCAGAAGCGCTAGGATACATCAGGGTTTGATCGGGTTGATATGAACCTTGAAGAGAAGCAGGTGGGGGCATTTCATCTTTCGACTGTTTAGGCTGTCTCATCCTCTCTTCCTTTGCAGCCTTCTTCATGTAAAACTCCATCATTGCTATAGGATCTGCACCTGTTGGTGCACTAGATTCACCTACATGTATAAAATATTTATAAAATATAAACCCAACCATTAGCTACAAAAAATCTGAAAGGATGTGCAATTTGCTAATGAATGTTGTATCAGGAAAAATTAACTATTGGCGTGCAAGAAAAAATAAAACCTTTTCTATGAGAATTGTGTTTTGCCATTCTACTCTAAAGGTCATAACTTCAGTTACATGTCACACTAGTAATATTTAGTATCTTGTTTTCATTTGTACAACTTTAACATATAAGGTACTAAAATACTTTCTATTCACTCATCACCATATTATACCTCAAGGGATCATGTCAAAAACTTTCTCCAAATATATACAAATCATATGAAAATCTTTATTTTTCTCTATGCTTCTCATTAGTTTCCTTCTTGGCGTAAATCCATATTGATTTTCCAATATAATACGGTAACAAAATTAGAAAATGCCTGGGGAAAATGAATACATAAGAAAACATAATATACCATAACTAGATCTTCCTACAGACGCATTCTGAACTGATGTCATTGAAGCGCTAATGTCCTCAGTGGCATCATATAAAGCTGAGGCAGGGATCTGATAATTTGAGTGCTGCTGCTGATGTGACCTTTGAGGACCACTTGTACAAGTAGGAGTAGCAGGGTTTGTACCACCTAGAGATATGATGCCATGGATTAAATAATTCTACTAAGTTCAAAATCAAAATAATTATTTAGAGAAGATAAAAATGAAACAAAATCACACAAATGACCCTCAGTTTTTGTGGTGAATAAATAAACAAACCCAAAAGATTATTCTTGTCTAAAAATTGATTTCAGTGCTTGAACAAGATACCCAAAAAAAAATTGTTATATTAAGATAACAAATTGCTCTGGCAGCAAGACTCTGAAAGCCATTGAAGTTAACCCCAAGGGGCTGGTTCTAGTGGGTAAGTCACTTGGCTCTGGTGCCTCAGGAAGCATCAGGTCTAAGGTTCAACTCCTCTTGGCTGCAAACAATTCCTTGGAGGGGGGAGTGTGTGGGTACCAACTAGGAGAAAAAAAACACCATTGAAGCTAAGGTAATAAACTTTCCAACTCCCCTACAAAATTTTGGATATCGCAGTATCCGAAAAATTCAACGATTATGGATGGCAATTTCCAACAATTTCTTCAAACTAAAATGGTCAACAAATTTAGCATTCCTGGATAATTTTCTTACAGGGCACTCTGTCGACCATAAAAATTAATGCTCACAACCAGGATTCTAATGAAGTTAACAACAAATAATTCTAATTTCTCTACAATAAAATATACTGTGAGGAAACAGTAACAATTCCACCAGCAAACACTGTGTAGTGTGTAAAGTGTAAGTTAATACTTCCAAAATCTGTGGAAAAGAGCTGCCAAGCAGCACTTCAAAGACAGAGGAATAAAATTGTTAAGATATGTGTACCAACCACTTTGCACTGTCTGGGAGTCCTTGGCCTGTGACAAAGCCTTCTCCTCTTCAGCAAGCTGGTATTCGTAGTACTTGTAATCAGCACAGCTCACATCAAATAGAAATCTGCTAGTAAAGCTTTCATTAGAAGCTCAAAATATGATAAAAATGCTGCATTTTAAAAAACAGAAAGACAAAACAATACATATAGAAAGCAAGGGAAATCCATGGTGAAGGAATGGGAGAAGCCCCAGGTAGAATGAGGAACACCATCAACCACATTTTGTAGATGAACCAATGTACGCTAACAATTTGAGATCAATAAAATTGTAAAGCGTATAAAATGTCATATATTTTCAAATCAAATTGTCATCCTTTGTGGTCTCCATAATAAAACAAAATTAAAAAAAATATTTTAATCACTCCCTTTCAAGAGAGAGAAATCTCCCACACTATTTTCTTCACCACTCCACCTCTTCATCCTGCCAACCAATGACACATTTTTTCAACTTCATAAACCATATATCTTTCAAGGACGCCTTTTATATTGTTGCCCAAAAGTAATTAAAATAAGATATCGCAAATTCTTTTTAAAAATTGATTTCAAGATCACTCATCTGTACAAAAAATTCCTATATTTTAACAGGAAAGAGAGAGAGAGAGAGAGAGAGAGTATTCTTCCAATCAACTATATCCCAATCCTAATTGTTGCAAGACATTACCAATCACTTCGATGTTGTCCTATTGGCTGACTTCCCATCAAATAAAATTAGAGTAGAATTATAAACCTCAATTTATCAATTCAAATTTATGTTATTTAAAATACACTTAGTCTGACAGAACTCTCACTGGTATTGTGTAGGTCATGTGGACATTAGAAGATGCAATAAGAAATATATTATGAAAAGAACATTATGTGACATCGATTATATCCTAATTTTCCCCAATATATATATATTTGTATAACCAGTTACCCCAATAAAATTTAACCGTGCGCATCGATCAAAACACGATATTCGCTCAAGGCATATGATTTTGCAATTAGAAACATACCCCCCAAACCCAAAAGCAACAGCAACATAAAAAATAAATAAATAAATAAATAAAATAAAATAAAAAAGAAAAGAAAAGTAATAGCATCAATGGTAAGCAAAAACACACAAAGCAAGTCATGCAGAAAGTATAAAGCTTCACTGTGGAGAAAGGAGGTAAAATAACTGGTATTTGGTAAAGCACATACTTAAAAGGCGTATCTCCCGGATTCTTTTGCCGTGTAATGTGCTCAAACTGCTTTCCATTTTTTGCCACAAAACTTGCTAACTTGTCCGCAACTTTCTTCACTGTAGGATCACTTGGTGAAGGTGGTGCTGCATGTCACTTAAAGAACTGATTAATACCAAGAGCATGAACAAGGGAATGCAAATTACTCTTGTAGCAGGCGTGCCACATTTTCCAAATCTTTCATTGAACATCTCTTTCCACCAATGTTGATAGAGATTTAAGCTATAAGCTGCATTCATGAGACAAGAATAATTCAAGAATGTTTTGTCCTCTTCACCCACCAGCTCAATAGTAGGCAAAATGCGTACCTAGATGATTTCCTTAGTAGCACTACACTTTATTAAGGGTCCAAATTTAAGTATGCATAGTAGATTTCTTGGAAAAAATAGCAAATAAAATAGTTCCAACGATGAGGAGGAAACATGACTACTCAGGAATGAAACTCTATTTATTAAAAATAAATAAACTCCAAAGTACAGTAAGATTATCCACATAACATGAATGCCATCTAGTAGGGAAATAAGGACAATAAGACTGATGAAGCAAGTCAGTATCCTTCCATCCATCATAAACTTATACCATGTGGCAAAAAAGAAACAAGTCCCATCAATAAATAACCCCAAGCATATGATTAGTAATAAACTTATAAGAATTCATAATTGATTCAATATATGGAGAATTAACTTAAACCAGACTTTTGCAGCCTATGCATTAAACCATTCTAAAAGGGAAAAAAGTCATATAACATAAAGAAAGTTATACAAGAATATTAACTTGTAGTACCTAGTGGACAAACAACTACAAGTGCAAAAGCATGAAAGTAAAAGCTCTTAGCATGCATTCTATGCGTGCATATGCAATCTAACTGCTAGCATGTACACGAGGAGATAGAGTAACAAGAATAAATCTAATAAGCAGCAGCGGAGAAAGACACATTAAAACAATGAAGCATATGCATAATTGTGAAAGAACCAGAAGATCAATCTAACACTCTTCTAATTCAACCATGTAAATAGATACTTATTAAGTAATTACCAACGTCAACTTGCTTCGATGATTTCTCGGAGACATCAAGGTGACCCAGCTTCTGCCGCTTTGTCTGTCCATAATCTGACACATTTGCAGTATCCTTTTCGTCTTCATCCTCATCTTCGCCCAACTTAACAGGAGGTGCCACAAGCTTTGACTTCTGCTTTAAAGTGAATGCAAGTTTTCCATTTGAAGAAGCAGCTGGATTGGTTTTGCGCAGATCATTAGCCTTAGATTCCAGGCTGATTTTACTAATGATAGGCTTAGGAGTTGAAGTCATTGGCACAGTTCGACTGGGTTTAGACTCCTCTAATGTAACACTCTTCTGCTTCTCCTGTTGAAGCTGTTTGAACCTCTCCATAAACGAACCATCGTTAACAAAAAGGCCAGAACCCGCTCCTTTCTCCATTGAAAAAGAGCCAAGTGTTTTTTAAGCTGTTTACAGGAATCAACTGCTTGACAAGCAAGCTTACAATATATTTAGACATTGAAATGGAGCAGGAACGAGCACTGTAATTGTGAATAAACAGAACTCTTGGGGAAGAGGTGAACCAGAATTGACAACCATGTGACTCATAAAAATAACTGAATTTTACAATAAACAGAATATTAAGAAGGTAACACCCAACATATGATCAAATCAGTTCATCTATTCCAGATTAGGGGGAGGGGGGGGAGAGGGGGGAATTGCCACCGCTGAAATTTCTAATGTATATCCAAATTACATTGCGAAACTGTTGTAGAATGTAACCTGACGACAATAGGGGATGGGATGGGGGAGAACAAAGCTGAAAGTCAAGCATAAGACACACAAACGACATAATGCCAAAAGCCAGTGCAATAAAACAATCTGTACTTTAAACACCACCACAACATAACATCATCAAATATATGAATATGAGCAATAAAGAAGAAAGGAGATGGACTTTGGATGTCCAAATTACTCAAACACTAACATGTGTTTCAAAGAGCTCAGCAGAACTTTGACCTCAAAATGTAAAGAATTGAGTGTGGGGGTGTGAACAAAGTTTGCATTAGTCTAGTTGAGCAAGGTAATTAATATATATTTAGAAAATCCTTGAGATTTAAACATTTAAAAAAAGCTTTTAAATAGGCAGACTAAGTATGATTATTTCAACTCCTTTTTAAACTCAAAACACATCACGCCATTATCCAATGTGGTCCCATTTGCATTATAGGAGGGGCTGGCCGAACTACGTAAGACAAACTTTGGCATTATTTGCACAAAGTGACTGCAGTCATTCTTTTATTACTGATAGCAAAAATATATATTTCCATATGATGCGAATATTTCTACTAACAAACACTGGAAGGATGCATATATCTCTACTGGAATAAATATGAAAATAGAAACATATGTATTGTTCCAGTAAATCAAGAATGTTTTTATTTCTGCAACCAAAAATAAATAAATAATCAATCCTTCACTGCAAAATAATGTTTAAAAGATTCTAAAACTTGATACTGCTACCAGTAAAGCTGCAGAAAACTATATGGGAAGGGAAACGGGAGTTGAGATATCTTCTTTCATGTTTTTTTCTTTATTTTAAAATGACTGAAATTATAAATCCAGATAAATTAACTTCCTCAGATGAATTAAAATTCTCATTTTCTGGGAAGCTAAAACAGAATAGATAGGTTTCATGGAAATTTGACCTGATCTTATCACACCTTTGTTGAATCAGATCAGCCAAATCATATCATTAGCCAAACCAGTCAGAGTTAAATAAATAAATAAGAGGCAATTATACATTTGACCCAACTGTAAAAGGCAACCTGTCTAAACTTTGGGAAATTCACAAAAGATAGCTAGTTAATTGAACTTAAATCCAATCAAATTCTGAAAGTAAAACCCTAAGTCCCAAAAAGATAATTAAAAAGAAGAACGCAGGGAACAAATGTGACAATCACCCATAAAGGACCAGTCACCACAATCAATTGTAAACATTTAACCACCAATATAAGCATCAGAACTCGATCGCTAGCAATTTATTCAAACCCTAAATCAAAAACCAACTCCAAATCGTAAAATGACAAAATCCGAACCTAAACACCTCTCCAAACAACCCATTCACGTAAAATTAGAGACACCGCAAACTAAAATCAAACGGAAAAACTTAATTGAAATCGAAACTAATTGAAATCGAAAGGCAAACTTAATTAAATATCAAACAAGATAAGGCAACACAGATAAAAATTATCCTTTCCCTTTCAAAATCAAAAATTTCTTTTACCTGATCGCGTTTTGGATTGATACCAACCGATCTCAGATCTTAATCATCTTCTGATTTCGATCAATCTTGAGATGAAGAAAACATAAACCGCACAAGACGAAGAGTTATATGTTTCCAAATACCTAATATACGCGAGGGCATAGACCAGGTTCGATTTTGCAGACCTCCTGTTGTTAATAAGCCGAATTGAACCGCGTGGCCATTTGTATAGGTAGTAGGTTGGTTTACATTTCACGGATTTACTTCTTTGCCCCCGTAAATTTCTTAGACTTAAAAAGTTCCAACTTGAACAAAAAAAAAAAATACAATTGACATGAATTAATAAAAATTTAATATTTATAAAAGATAATATGATTTTTTAAGTTTTAACATGTTGATTCATTTTTATAAATATTATTTTTTTATTAATTCATGTCACATGCAAATTTATGAAATATATATATTCAACAAAATTTATTAATAATAATTAGTTAGTTGGGGGATGTTAGCTCAATTTGGGCCATAAATTGATATAATTTTTTATATTTTATTGAATAATATAAATATATGAGAAAAATTGAAATATAGCCAGGATTGCCACGAAATTTCAAACCCGTATCAGTTGAAAAGTTAAAACATTACCTTAATTACAAAATCACCATGTTCGTTTCATATTCAATTATTACAACTCTGGGCAAAAATTCGAAGACACTTGTAATTGCAAAATTTGAAGACTTGGAACAGTCAACGGCAAAGAGGAGAGAATTGCCTCAGTGGCTCTTATAAATAATTTGTGGGCAAAGATTGATGGGCCTGAATCTCTTGATTTGGTGGGCTGCCCCCATCTTGAAATTTGGACTCTTCTCCCAAATATTGTTCCCTTTAGGCCTGCACTCATGACACCTATGGTGTGGGCTTGCAAAGTTTTTTGTTTTTCCTTGGGCTAGCAAAGTTGGCTGGATGGGATTGGTATACAGAGGTTTTTTTTTTTTTTTGTTTTTTTTGTTAGTCTTTTAATTGTGATACGAGTAAGATTTAACTATTTAAGTCTTATTTGTTATGCGAGTGAGTTTTAAGTTGCGACTTGACTAAAGATTCACCCTACAATCTAACTCCTACAAATAGGAATGTGAAGTCCAATAATAAACAATTTACTACAGCCAAACAAGTAATTGTGTTTCCTTCCTTAGAATAAAAAATGGATTTTATTAGTAGAGTTGTAGAAAAAATTGCTTTTCAACGGTTTAAAATTATTTTTATTTTTAAAAATTGTGTTTAGATATACTTGGTAATTATAAAATTGTTTTTAATATTTATCAATTTTAACTTAGTAGAGCTTATATATATATATATATATATATATATATATTTATTTATTTATTTATTTTATAAAGACAATTACATTGACTATTATCAAATATGATAACATCCTAATAACAGGATATTATTGAAAAATTAACAATAAAAATATTTTAAACAATATTGTTACTAAATAAATTTAAAAATAATTTAATTGTTAAAAGTACTTGACACCAACCGCCCACAAATAACAAAATTTTAAAATAGTATATATATGAGTCAGTAGTGATGGTCGGGGTGGTATGGTTAAATCCTACACCAACTCGTTCAAAAATTCATCATACCAATTGCGTCTCTATTTCGAGACTGGTTTGTAACTGGCGTACTATTTCTACCCCTACTTCGACAGACAAAGTGCTGACTCTGTTTAATTGCGGGACGGGACGGGTTATGCCACTTTTATTATTTAGTAAAAATAAAATAAAATAAAATAAAAAAATCTAATCTACTCAAATTGGGCGAACTAGATATTAAACTTTTAGAAATACTAAGTAGTAAATATTAATATATTTATTGATACTTTCAACAAAATAGTTTTATATAATTTTTAAGAGTATATATATAATTGAAGCGAGGGCTATCAACTCCGCTCCATTAAAAGTGCGGAGCTGGATTCAGTGCTGTCAACTGTTGGTGTTGTCCATTTTTTGCACGAACCAGATTCGGCTACGTCAGCACTCTACTTAACCCTGGTTTAGGGGTAGCAAAGCGGCAATTAAGGAACAGTTGAGGAAGGAAGGCGGCAATTAAGGAACAGTGGACAGAAGGAAGGCGACAAATTTGAAAACAATGGGCGGAAGGAAGGCGGCAAATTAAGTAACAATGAACAGCAGTGGGCGGCAATCTCACTGTAGCAAATCCCACCAAAATCTATAGTACTATTTCCCAAATCCTGCCATTCTGAAACCAAATCCCGCCATAAATGATTTATTAATCGATTTGTATTTCCAGAAAGTGTTTAGGGCTTTGATTTATTGTAGAGATTAACACGTAAATTGAACAGCGAAACTAAAAGGTTTTCTTTAGCAATTTCGACGACAGCAAGGTGAGTATTTTCCCCAAATTTGATTTATATTTACAAAATTTGTTTCAAAAAATGGATTAAAATTGCAGTGACCCAATTTAATTATGGATTGATATTTTCCCTAAATTTGATTTGTAAATCGATCACAATTTGTTTTCCAAAATCGATTAAGATTGTGGTGACCCAATTTGATTATGGATTAATATTTTCCCCAAATTCGATTTGTATTTACTAAATTTGTTTCCAAAAATCGATTAAGGTTGTGGTGACCCACATTAATTATGGATTAACAACTAATTTGAACACCTAATTTAAGGGTTTCAATAACCAATTCCCAAAGTGCACTTTATTTTATTACTATCACATTCTTTTGTGTTTATCAAACCAAAATTCAGCAAACGCCTCTGTTGTGTTTCTGCTGAATTGTGTACATGATTCCTAAACAAATTTTGAATATCTGATAACATATACCTTACATATTATGTTATATCCACCAAGACAGCATTATGTGTCTTCCATGTTACACATTTATGTTATTCTTAATTTGTCAAACTAAAAGTATTGGCATTACAGCAGTATACTGATGGGATAATGTTATATTGATCATACTTGCACGCTTATTTCTTACTTCTGTGGTGCTACCGGCTTGTTACTTGATTGTAGGAATCATGAACGACAAAGAGTTGGAACACCTAATCCCTAATTTAAAGGTTTTAACAACCAATTCCCATGTCCACTTTAATTTATTATTATCACGTTCTGTTGTGTTTATCATTATCATACTTCAGCAAACGCCTCTGTTCTGTTTTTGCTGAATATTATGTATCTGAGAACATATCCCTTACACGTTATGTTATATCCACCAACACAGCATTATGAGTCTTCCATGTTACACATTTATGTTATACCGAATTTCTGGAAATAAAACTATTGGCATTACACTAGTATACTGATGGGACCATGTTATTTTTATCATACTTGCACATTTATTTCTTAATTTTGTGTTGCAGCCGGGTTTTTACTTGATTGTAGGAACCATGAATATCCAAGAGTCGCACATAAATGCTGATTCTGGTTAGATTGTGCATAATGGTGGTAATGTTATTTGTGTTGAGAATGTTGATAATGACAATTGTGATAACATTATTTGTCTTGAGAATGTTGTTGATAATCCTGAGAATGTTGACAATGCTGTAAATGCTAACAATGTTGATAATGTGGACAATGTTGATAAGCTTAAAAGAATGTACAGCTGAATATCGTAGAATAATGTACATGAAGTTTGAATCCCCTTAAGCTGCTTATAATTTCAATAACACATATGGTGGGGAAGTAGGTTTTAACATTCGAAAGGACTAGGCAAATAAAGACAGAAAACAACAAAAGTTAGTACTAGTTACATCAACAAGGTTTGTATGTTGCAATGAGGGTGTTCGATTAGGTTTTTTCAGGCCAATTCCACATGCTTTCGAACAAAAAAAAAAACTAATTGTGGAAAGAAACACCTTATTATTCATGCAATCAATATCTAACTTACTACTCCTGCCATAAACAAAGCATTCCCCTTCCTGCATTCCAGGCATCTCCTTATGAATCATCCACATGCTTCGTAGTTACGTGACTCAATCCTATCCCAGATATCCACAATTTAGCTGAAGGAAATTTTTTGCAATGTGTCATCCGCTGACCCCAACCAACGAAATTTTCTACAACTGCACAAAACAATGTTAGTATTTGAATGAAAATTTACAATAGGTCACCTTATAAGAACTACGTGAATAGTGTGGGACAAACCACAGTTGTAATCGAAATAGGTCTCTGAAATCATTCATCGCAATATGACCCATAACCTTCTTGATCATATAATACGGTAGAAGATCCATATCTCCTCAATTTGTTGATGTGATACTAAAACTTACTTATAAGTGGGGAATATATAAGGTCTTGATGACATAAAGTAATTTATCTTAATTATCATTTCTCATTTATAATTAACTCTCTTCAATAAATGGGTACTAACTAATAAAGCTATTTCCATCACTGAATAAATATGACTTGCATCTTACTTACATTTCTGCTGATACTTAACTCTCTTCAATACATACGTTGTGCGTACCTTCCCGGAGTTGTAGTTCTGTTGCATCTGTGAGAACAGACAGTTGCATGGAATCTTGTATGTTTCCCTTATATAGGCTTCTATGTAAGTAGTATGGGCCAAATGCCTTGTTTGTTTCCCTTTTATTGGCACTATTTATGCAATTTAATTTACCAACCCATAAAAAAAATAATAATAATAATAAATAAACATATTTTAAATTTACAAACAAAAAATCATCTTACTTGGGATAGGTGTTTAAAAAAATTGAAAAATTTCTTTCACTGCACATATACTTACTGATTCCAACTGTGGGATAGGGTTTTATACATTTATATATATTTGACTGACTTAGTGCATGTAATGGCATTACCATATATAACCCATGATGTTACTATGAAGTCTGGTACACATTTTAACTTCACTCCCTCTTTTCTGCAATAAATCCCATGGTCTTCATCATCTTCCTCATCCATTTTGTTTTCAGTTAATTCTGATTACCTATCTTTGTTACACACAAACCCGTTTCCTTTTTGGAGCGGGATTGAGCCACTTATATGGGACACCTGTTGGGTCCACTTTTATGCAAGTTGCTGGCCAATGACCTGGTGTTTGTAGCGTGAGTAAGTAATGGTATAAAAATCTTGGCACTTTCCATTGAACATCCACCGGTAAGTGTATTTTCAGCCCAACAAGTATGGTAAGTAAGTATTTACCTAAAT